TGAGTCGAGAAGGAGACAGAGGTCCAAACAGTGTCTGTCTGATAGTGCTGGAGTTCTGTCCAAGAAGCTTCTGGGGATTTCCAGAAGTGATGAACAGGCAGGATGAGAGTCTTCAGGGTTAGTTTCACTGGAAATCATGAAACAATAGGAGAACTACAGAGGAGCTAAAAGCTCCACTAGGGTCACCGCTCAGGCAGAGGGCGGCCATTACTATAGCACCTAAAAGGCGGACATTATGCATCAATAAATTACTACGATTTACATAAGAATCTGGTAAACTGTCATTTATAGTCCAATATTTAAAGAGGATGCTTCTGCAGATGAATAGGAAAGATTGATGAAAGTATTGGTTCCCAGTAGGGCTGAAACAATGAATCAGATTAATTGATTGCTGAAATAATCGTCAGCTAATTTAAAAATCGATTCAACAGAGACTCTAAAACTTCCCTTTAGCTGACAGATAAGATAGTAAAACAATATAAAAACATTTTGCATTTAAGATAAAAACTGCATAAAGTCAGCCTCACTGTGTGAATTCGGCCTCGCTGTTTTATTTGTATGTTTGTTGTATGATCAAAAATACGGAAGAGGATTAGGGCCACTGAAAAAAAAAAGTTAACTGATTTTTACATTTTATTTCAGTTTAACATGGGAAAAAAGTCAGAATTCAGACTTTTTTATTGTCAGAATTCAGTCAGAATTCTGAGATTAAATTCAGAATTCTGACTTTTTTCCCATGTTAAACTGAAATTAGGCTTGTCCCGATCCGATCCACGTATCGCATCGGGACGCCGATATTGGCAAAAAAATGCGTATCGGCAAAGCATGTAAAATGCCGATCCAGTTTTTTAAAAAAAATCCGGTCCGTATTTTCCAGTTTCGCCGATTGAAACGATCCATTCCACTTTTTTGCGCCAGTGTTTCCCTGTTTTGCATTTTTATTAAAACTTACAGTAATACTTGCACCTTTAACTGTTTACGGTTTTATTGTTCACTGTGCAATTTCAGATTGCTATTCATAATTTTGTCCAGTTTGTGTTTATCTCTTAATAAACAGGTAAGTTTGTTGTTACCAAGCATTGTGTTTTATTCAATCTCACCTAATTCAGCTGGCTAGATGTTATCAAGAGCACTAAAACCCTTTTCAACATGAGTCTTACAACTAAGGCTAAATACTTTAACTTAAACTTAAATACATGCTCGGATAGGCTGGTATCAGCCAGTATCGGTATCGGATCGGAAGTCTAAAAACAATATCGGTATCGGATCGGAAGTGCAAAAACCTGGATCGGGACATCTCTAACTGAAATAAAATGTAAAAATCAGTTAACTTTTTTTTTTTCAGTGGCCCTAATCCTCTTCCGTACAAAAATAATAAAATATAAGTGACAAAAAAAAAATCAAAATCTCTCTCCCTCAAATGCGTCTCCAGCTCCTGCAACTCGACCCATGAATCACCCCAAAACGTCTGCACTGTGGCGGGACGTGGCGAGCAAATGCACTTCCTGTCACCTCAGGGCGCAGCTCTCCTCTCCTCCTGTATTGCAGAGGAGCTGCTGCACATTGAAAACCTTTAACCAGAGTCAATTTGCACCGTAGGGCGGAAATAGGTCACCAATCAAATGAACCATTAAATGACGCTTTACTCGTCATTAACCATTTAACATATATCTTACACATTTAATAAATATAGATCAATATATTTCGAACCATTTTTACTTATTAATTTAAAATTAAATTACAAATTACACATAAGGTCCGTCTCCTAATGAATGCTGCATTGGTTAACCTTGAAATCGAAATATATCTATCAAATCTCAAACTAAATTTCATTGATGAGACAAATGTTTAATTTCTACCTACAATGAACTGAGCACTGTCAGACAAAAACTGTCTGATATGTGCACAAAAAAGGGATTGTTAATCCTATTTCAGTATTTTATCGGGAAAAAGAGCAGAATATGAGTCAGTTCTTCTGTGAAAATGGGTGCTTTTTTTTCTCAAGTGTAAAAACAGGTCAATGATGCTTGATAACAAATAGAAATAAGCAGTTCAGTTTTGGCCTCAGAGTTTCATGTTAGTCACCCCTGGTTTAAAGCATCACATCTCCTGCATGTTCAATGCCGCTGATTCAGTAACATGAGGGGAATTTCATGGGATTCATACAGTTTGGTTACGTAAATCTCCAGCAACAGCCTCCTTTATGTGAGAATTAATGCTGATCAGCTTCATGCCGCCACTGGTCTAATCGCTTCTTAAGCGATTAGACCAGTGAATAATTCCGTCTGAAATGAATGAAAATAGTTGTTTTAATGGTTATAGAGTCAGATATATGGCGGTAATGTTTAATTTATCTAAAGGTTTTTATCTGTTACTGTGTAAATGAGTTTGGCTGTAATTTAAGGACAGATTCGAATATATCTGCAGAGTGGGAACTATAAAGCTGATAGGAGTTTAATTTTTTTATTGTTGTTTTGCACAATATGCTTAACTAAGTATTTTTTGTTGTTGAATATTAGAGATTTTGCAGATATATTTTGTAGATACATTGTTTAGATTTACTTATATATTTCGAACCCTTTTATAGAATAGAAAATCCCTTTATTGTCCCACAATGGGCAGATTTACAGCAGCAGAAAGATTATTGAAAATGGTCACACAAATGAGGACCTTAGAAAAATGTATAAGAATAACATAATAGACAAGAGTTAAAATATAAAAAATAAAATTCTGTAAAGTGTTTTAACAATATAAAACTGGAGAATTAATAACCAATATGCAGCTATGGACATTTTTACAGTAATGGATATTTGAAAATAGCAGCAACATCAGAGATGTGCAGAATGACAGCAGCAGGTTATTTAACTGACTGAGGTTTCTATCATTACATTTGATTTAATCTGTTCCTGCTCCCGCTGGTTGGAACCTTTATTCCACTCTGGATTCTTGTGAGTGTAGTCTTTGTTCACTTTAACTTTTTAAAAAATAAATAAATAAACAAACAGTTTTGAAAACCTCGGTATTCATTCTTTTCCTGCTTTGTGTGTCAACTTTCACGGTTGCTAAGCAACAGAGCATACGGCGGTAAAACCCGCCGAAGGGTGGACCTGTTCGAATTTACAGACAGAACTCTTCCGGCCTCCTTATTTTCAAGGACTTCGAAGGATCCAGTCTAGGTACACCGCGTCCTTGGAGGATGCAGCCCAGGTTTTTGAACAGAGCCTCTGATTAAGAACAGGGCTGCCTGCACTGAGGCGGCTCAGGGATTACGTCACACGGAGCGTCGTGCGCAGTGAAATCAGGACATTTCCTCACTTTCTAAAAAAAACCCGGAACGCCCGGGACAGGACGTGAAATACGGACGTTTGGTCACCCTAACTTAAAGTATAAAAGTAAAAGTAGAAACCACTTTTTTCATGCCGTTGCCTACATTTTAAATGGATGTCTGCCAATAGGACTAGATCTCCGTTGTGTTCATTTTCAATCATCTCGTCGTCCATGCTACTATGCTAACGCCACTGCCACCAAGCTGCAATGATTTGCCGCCAATGAATACCGCCGAATCTGTCGATTCATCTTGTAGTGGTGCGTCAAATGCAACGTAGATTCCCATCCAATTAGATTGAATTTGGTATTGATGACGTGAAAAATAATAACGGTAACTCCATTGAAATGATTCAAAACTAAAGTAACGAGACAATTTTTAAAAATGTAAGGAGTAGAAAGTACAGATATTTGTGTAAAAATGTGAGGAGTAGAAGTAAAAAGTCGCCATAAAAATAAGTAGTAAAGTAAAGTAAAAATATCAGAAAAATCTACTTGAGTACAGTAACTAAGTATTTGTACTTCGTTACTTACCATCTCTGGAAGGATGTAATCAATTTTAATAGACACCAATCACGAGAAAACAGCTTTTGTTTAGATAATGAGAAAATTATTATATAAACATTTTCGCAAGAAAACCTTTGCGAAAACTGATCGGAGGGACATGACCGCTCTGGGCTTCCGTATATAATTATCTGCATAACTTAGAATCGATTTTTAATCTTCATAATACTGCTTCCTGTTAAATCCAGAATAGAATTTAAAATCCTCCTTCTCACATATAAAGCCTTAAATGGCCAAGCTCCATCTGATATCAGAGATCTGATTGTTCCTTATGTTCCTATCAGAGCACTTCGCTCTCAATCTGCAGGTTTACTAGTGGTTCCTAGAATTTCTAAAAGTAGAATGGGAGGCAGATCTTTTAGATATCACACTGCAAAAAATGGAAATCTAAGTAATTTTTTCTTAAAGTAAGTGCATTTTTTTCTCCAATTGAGGACGAAAGTGAGAGACTTTGCCAATGGAACGAGACAATTTACATTTAAATAAGAAGTTCATATTATCTAATTATCTTATTTTAAGAGTAAATATACTAATTTTATTGGCAAATCCTTACATTTACCTATTCAAATTAAGGGTAAATACACTTAATTTAAGAAATTTTTACTTATTTCTAGATCGTTTTTGCAGTGCAGGCTCCTCTCCTGAAAAGGAGCTTTAGACCATTGGATATTTTCAGTATATCTAAAGGATAATTTATGAAACCAACAATATTTATAGATTCAGTTTGGAGAAGAAAACACCTGAGGGAAATAGTTAGAAGATAATTAGTGATTCTGTTTTCCAGAATTTTCTGTTGGATTCTTCTAATGCTGGGAGCCTGAAGGACCGTTCCAGGCTGTGATGTTGCACCTTTCCAGAATCCGCCGAGTCAGACCCTTCATCTTTCTATGAACCTTAACTTTACGTTCTCCACGTGAGTCAGAGATGGATGAAGATCCAATCAGAGCGACCCACGGCCTGTTGCCTGCCTCCTGGGTTGCGGTGAAGGACCCCTGGTTCCACCCGAGCGGACAGATGAGGAGGCAGGAGAGGGTTTAAGATGTTTTCGTGATGCCGATCCTCCACATGGTGACTCAGCAGGTGAGCAGGGTTATAAAGAGGCAGAGGTCTTCTGTGTTTCATCACTGAGACGATGGCCTGGCAGCTCTGCACAGCCTGCATCCTGCTCTGCTGCCCCGCCCTGCTGCAAGCCAGGGCTTCAGGTAAGAGAGGAAAGCTCCTCCACTGCAAAAAATCACAATCTAAAAAAGTTATTTTTTCTTAAATTAAATGCATTTTTTTCTTAGATTGAGGAGCTAAAGGAGACATTTTGCCAATAGACCAAGACAATTTACACTTAAAATAAGAAAACACAATTGCATTGTCTTATTTTAAGTGCATATTATCTTATTATCTTATTTTAAGAGTAAAATTACTAATTCCATTGGCATACTATCTCATTTACACTGCAAAAACGTTCTAGAAATAAGCAAAATTTTCTCAAATTAAGTGTATTTACCCTTGATTTGAGTAGGTAAATGAGATATTTTGCCAATGGGATGAGTATTTTTACTCTTAAAATAAGATAATTAGATAATATCCACTTGAAATAAGACAATGTAATTGTCTTTTCTTATTTTAAGTGTAAATTGTCTTGGTCTATTGGCAATATGTCTCTTTTATCTCCTCAATTCAAGAACAAATGCATTTATTTTAAGAAAAAATGACTCATCTAGAATTTGATTTTTTCCAGTGTATCTACTCTAATTAAGGGTAAATACACTTAATTCAGGTAGTTTGTATTTCTAGATAATTTTTCCAGTGTAATACTGCAAAAAAAAAAAAAAAGAAATCATCTAAATAAGTCAACTTTTCTTAGATTAAAGGAGAAGTTCGGTTTTTTACACTTTAAGCCCATTTTCTGTAGCGTCCAGGATGAAATTGAATGATCGACACCAAAATTTTGACAATTGGTCCTGTCTCTGCTTTTTGGCTCATGCAGAATCCCCCCCTGGCTGCTTCAGAATGGCTTGCATAGTGCATGTCCGATAATGTCCTTAAAACAACCTTAAACGTTCTTTTTTTAAAATATGCTACTCACCGTGTCGTCAGCGCTGTTCAATGACGTCCCAAAAAAAGTTTCGTGAAGAAAAAACGTTCCTGTAGTGTTTTATTTAGCATTTTGTAAATCCCATTGAGTTCTGTAGGAATAGTCAATATTCCGCTGCCACCGGAAATGGAAATGGAGCCTGTTTACACAGTTGTAGTCTTTTCGCTTCACTCTGTGTACTCCGACGTCGAGGTGCTAACGTCTCTGTTAAACACTTTAAAAAACTCTGAAAATGGAATACGAAAGGTGGATTCTTGATTCTCGACGTCGGAGTACACAGAGTGAAGCGAAAAGACTACAACTGTGTAAACAGGCCCCATTTCCGTTTCCGGTGGCGGAGGGATATTGACTATTCCAACAGAACTCAATGGGATTTACAAAATGCTAAATAAAACACTACAGGAACGTTTTTTCTTTACGAAACTTTTTTTAGAACGTCATTGAACAGCGCTGACAACCCGGTGAGTAGCATATTTAAAAAAAAGAAGGTTTAAGGTTGTTTTAAGGACATTATCGGACATGCACTATGGAAGCCATTCTGAAGCAGCCAGGGGGGGATTCTAAATGAGCCAAAAAGCAGAGACAGGACCAATTGACAACATTTTGGTGTCGATCATTCGATTTCATCCTGGACACTACAGAAAATGGGCTTAAAGTGTAAAAAACAGAACTTCTCCTTTAAGTGTATTTACCGTTAATTTTAGCAGGTAAATAAGATGATATGCACTTGGAAAAAGACAATGCAATTCTTTTCTCCTATTTAAATATAAAATGTATTTTCCCATTGTCAGAGTGTCTCACTTACCTCCTAAATTCAAGAACAAATGAACCTATTTAAAGAGAAAACGACTTATTTAGATTTATATTCTTTCCTGTGAGTTTTAGGGGTTTTGTTCGGTGCTTGATTTAAAGATGGTTGGAAATCCGGATGATTGGAAGAAAACAAGTTTGAATCTTCCTGATCCAGATTTTTGGATGTATTAACCAATAACCTGCAGAATGAGCTCAATTTCAATCACCCCTTGAACTTAAAAAAAGAAAAATAATGTTCCAGGTCCATGTGGTTTATAAGCCATAAATCAGTAATAGACATTTAAAATTTCCCCAATGTCCTTCATGGTCCCTGGCTGGTCCTCTGCAGTTCCTTTTTAAACATCAATCATGGAGCTAAAATATTCTGTCATGATTTGTGGACATTGAGAGGTAAAGAGAAGCGCCATCTCCTGGTCAGTCCCTGTAATTCAGTGAAAGGGTGGAGGGGGGTCACTGCAGGGACTGGAAGGTGGAGGGGGTTTGGCTGGGAGCTGCTGCTGTATCACCATGGAGATGATTTTTATTTCCCTGGTTTGATCAACAGCTTAAAGTCATCTTTCCAGCTTTCATGCAAACATTCCTGAGCTGGAGATTTCAGAGTCTAGGTGGCATCTTCAGCTCCTGATTGCTCCTCCCTGTGAGGAACCACAGAAGAAGAAAAACATTGATTGTTCTCAGCGCTGCCGCGGACAGCAGGCCTGCTCTGAACGCTCACTGCGGGGCAGGCGCTGTGAATAATAAGGAATATTTCATTTATTTAAAAACACTTTATCGAATGATTCATTGATTATATCGTCTGCCTGGCTGTGTGTTTCCTGGACGGGGCCGCCTGTGGAGCTGGTTGACAGTTGCCTTTTGTATCTATGCTTCTTTTTCTATGTCTGCTTCTGTCTCCTTGAACCCCAGTGGGCCTCAGCAGATGGCCGCTCACACTGAGCCTGGTTCTGCTGGAGGTTTCTTCCTGTTAAAAAGGAGTTTTTCCTCTCCACTGTCGCTACAAGCATGTTTAGAGTGAGGGATTGCTGAAGAGTCAATGAGTCGATGCAATCAGCTGGTTTTCCTTAGATAGAAAACTTTGAATCAATCTGACTGGATGATCTGGTGAACTGGAAAGTGACCTGAGATGACATGATGTGAATTGGAGCTATAGAAATAAACTGAATAGAATTATATGAATATAACCTAGTTAATCTAGACTTTGACAAACTTTATTGTCATTTTGTACACAGGGTGAATACAAAACAAAATCAATCAATACGCAGGCCAACTTTTAGGAAACCTTAAAGCTTTCAGAGCAGACTTGTTTTCTATAAAATGTTCTAGATCAGCTCTCTGTCTAATTGTAGAATAATAGGAAGATTAGCTGCAATAAAAAGTTGCTGCAGGATTGAAGCGATGCCTGCTGAGGCTGATGAGAAGGGTTTGTTTTGTCAGAGTACCAGCTGGAGTCGCAGACGCTGAGCCGATGCGAGTTACTGCGGAGCGTCGCCACGGAAACCAAGCAGGGAGACGTTCCTCACTGCTCAGAGGACGGCAGCTTTAGGTATGAGAAGCTCCACCATCTTTAGCTCCGTCTTTCTCTAATGAACTTCACTCAGTTTTACGCTCCAACAGAAAAATTTTCATATTTAATTAACATTTTTCTCTCTAGGTTAAAACCAAGAACCTCTGTTGTGATGAAAACAACTCACTAGCTTTTTTATTAAGCTGATTTATTCAAACTGAGTTTTTTTTTTTATTCTATGTTTGCGTTTCTGTGTGCAGACCTGTGCAGTGCAGCGGGCAGAATCAGGAGTGTTGGTGTGTTGACTCCGGGGGTCAAGAGGTCATCGGGACTCGAACCAACAACTCTGCTCCTCACTGTGAGCATCAGAATAAAATCCCACAAAAACATGTTCTGTGGGCTTTTATAGAACATTTTTCACTTAATTAACTGAAAATGTGATGGAGGATCCAGAATGAATTGATATTTAGCTTTAAGAGTTTCTGCAAAAACATTTTCCTGAAACAGAGTAAAAAAAAGCATTAAATGTCTGGTAAAAACAACAAAACAAAAAGACTGTCTGACCATCTAAAACTCTAGTCATGGTTTAAACTAAAACCATCAAATCAAATTTTATTCTAAAGTATTTTATTAGATGAAATGTTGCAGAAACTCAGGTTATTTTTCTTCCAGCTGGAGGCAGAGGTGTGCAGCGCATACGTGGGGTACCAGAAGGCTAGGTTTCAGAATAAGGAGGTGTTAATAGAAAGTAAACGACACTGAAGCAGATACTTATATTGGGTGTTGGTACCATATATTATGTGGAAACAAGAAAAACAACAAACAAAACTCAAAATATTTACGATCTGCAGAAAATCTAGTTTTGCCTTGGTGCGATTGAGAAAATTCAGTTCGGCAGACTCAGTAGTTTACCGAGTTAAACAACAAAATACAGAAACAAATTGAGGAGCATTCAAAGATGAACGTTGCATCCAAATGAAGAGAATACTCTGTTAGATGCAAATATTCCACGATCCAAGTCGAATGAGTAAATGATACGAACTTATATGGAAAAAAAAAAAAAGAGTTTATTTCTAACTGTAGTTCTGCACTCCAACAGTAGGTGGTGACATCCCCGAGGGGATCGTTGAAGCGATTTAGCCAAACAGTTCAATGAGGCTTCACCATCACTAGCTAATGCTGTTAGCATTGGGCTAGCAGAACATTTCAAAATAACAGATAGCATGGCTAATAGCAACATGCTAGTGAACAAACCGACTCACCAATTCCCGCAGATATGCGACACACCGCGGTAGTAAACGCTCCAAACACAGAATCGCATGCTAGAGTCAAACATGCTTTAAGATGGAAAAGAAGTAAAAACTGCATCGTTTGTGTAGAGTCTATTTTTAAAATGTATGGAATATAAGTAAAAAGTTGTCTAAAAATATTTACTCCAGGAAAGGAAAGATAGCTAACATCTCTACTTAAAGGTATAATGGAGGATTTTTGCAAATTTTTGAAAAGCCGCTGCAGACAGGCTAATGTTAGCGCTGGAAGCTGCAGATGGGTATCGTTAGCGCTGGCCGCCACAGACAGGCTAATGTTAGCCATGGCCGCTGTAGACGGGTTAAGGTTAGCGCTAGCCGCTGCAGACGGGCTAACGTTAGCCCTGGCCGCTGTAGACGGGTTAACATTAACACTGGCCGCTGCAGACAGGCTAACGTTAGCCCTGGCCGCTGCAGACAGGCTAGCGTTAGCCATGGCCGCTGTAGACGGGCTAGCGTTAGCCCTGGTAGTTGTAGACGTGCTAATGTTAGCCCTGGCAGCTGTAGACGGGCTAACGTTAGCGCTGGAAGCCGTTAGCTCTGCTGTTTGCCGTGGTCCTCTCAATTTTGGAATGAATTTCTTGACTTATGCCCTAAATCAGTAAATGTTCCATATAGTGAAGCTTAAAGTATAATATTCTCGCCTTAAATGATCTTAAAATTTACTTTTATTGAACAACAGCATCCGGCTACTTTGTCCGTTCTCGGTCTGCTGTTCTTTTGAATTTTAACAGTGCTAGGGTTGACAGTGATGACGTTTCATGAGGACACGAGAACGCACGACCTTTAACTCATTTAGCAGCTAAACCCTGATTAACAAACCAATTTTCTTCATTTTTAGGACATCTGCCTCTCAGTCTGAGCTGTCCATCTGCTCATCATGTTTTTTGTGAGAGCAGTGAGAAATATCAACTTCATTTATAGGAGTTTACAATGATATATTTAAAGTAAAGTGATATTTCATTAGAAGATATTGTTATTAATTCAAAGTAGCCTACTGCAAAATGGCTCTTAAATTAAAAAAAAATTATATATTTATAGGGCAATATCAATTAAATTGCTCTTAAGCCACTAGGTGACAGCACACAGCCACATAAGTTTTTCTTAACACATCAGAATGACAGCAATATCTAAGTTTTCCACAGCTGAATTTTTGTAAAAAATTACAGTATCTGATTATATTTTATTATGAGAAATTCATCATATCACCAAATTATTGCCGTATTGATTTGATTGTTTTCTTCCTTTCGTATTAAAATGCTTGTGACTTGAAATGCTTCCTTTAAAGTGCTGAAATTGTCTGGTAGGTCCGACTCCCTGCCAGCTTCAGTCGCTGCTGCAATGCTCCCCATCTGGCCTCTTTGAGTCGGTTCAGTGCGACTCCAGCAGGGGGCAGTGTTGGTGCGTGGACCAGGATGGTATGGAGCTGTACGGGACCAGACAGAATGGGAGACCCCAGCGCTGTGCGTACCGGTTACAGTCAGAACGACTTCCTTCAATCTGCTCCGTCATCCTCCCTCAGCTCCAGGCACTGTCCCTACTGACTATGACCTTTGACCTTTAGGTCCCGGCAGCTGTGAGGTGAGATCCAGACGTCTCCTTCACTCCTCGGCTTCTTCTCCCCCTCAGTGTGCGGCAGACGGCAGCTTCCTTCCAGTTCAGTGTAAATTCATCAACACGACGGACCGAATGGAGCTGGATCTGCTGCACGCCTTCAGCAGGTAGAGGAACATCTATCCGCCCGGATTAAACAGCTGGATACAGTTTAATTCTCACATCTGTCTAAATGTGCATCAGATCTCCTGAGGCCTTTGAGACGTTCAGCAACTTCAGGAGGTTTTTCCCACTGGTGTCCTCGTACTGCTTCTGCTCGGACAGCCGTGGCAGAGAGCTGCAGGGAACAGGTGAGGAAAAGGATTTCTATCGGCCATTCCAAAAAGAATATGTAAAAAAATCCACTGGACTTTGTTTCCAAGTTTGAAGGCGTTTCTCTTCCATCCAGGAAACTTTTTCATTTCGTAATGTCAGAAATAGCGTTTAGTTCCAGGTTTTATCCAGCAGCCCAACAAAGCCTGGTTTTAGTTTAGAAAACATGCAAATAGAAACGGATGAACGGGTCCACCCCTTTGGAATGGGGGTCGTTTGGCTTCTTTGTTAGCCTGCAATGCCCCATACCTGTCTATGTCTCTGAAAGGGGGGGTCGTTAAAGACACTTCAGACACTTAGACGGGGTTGTGAGGATATTTTGGACAAAAAAGACAGGTAGTTTGAGAGGGGCGTGAAGGAAGCCACCTATGTTTAGAAAGAAAAACCACTGTCAAGGAACGCTATGGACAGCGGAAACATGCAAGAGGAGGAGAGTTTAGTGTCGGAGGTCGTGGATGAGTCTCCTCCGTCATCCATTTTTTATTTAGAGGAGGAAAGCGGGGACGAAGATGTTGTGGAAGAGGACGCCAGGGCGGCAGAAGCTTGGTTTGGTGTAGAAGGCTTCCAGCCGTACATGTTTGAGCCCTTGCCTCGCAACGCTGCCAGTTCTGTTAGCTCTACGCCTGCCGAAGACACAGACGTCCATCCCCGTGAACACTGGGACGCAACTCAATGGGAAAGGAAAGGATTCTGGTTTAAACCGTTGCGTATATTAGCTGCGACACATGAATCAAGATGCTATGACTGAAAACATTTGATTGACAGATAACCGTTGATATATGATTGGCTGAATTTAGGTGTTCAGGCTGACGTAGAACTAACTGGCCTGCAGAAGATAACGGAAAAAAAAAACAGATTTTAAGACAGGATATTTTTTTTTTTTTTTATAGAAATTTTCCAAATTTTGGGACAATATGATTAGCCTGGTGAGACCATCCTGATCTCGCGAGCTTTCAAGGTTTCACTCGCAGATCAGTCTGGAGACTCTCCGTTAAAGAAAATTTGGAGCCGTTCACCAAACGAACGTCCAATCAGCGTTGGCTTTGAGGCGGGTTGAGGTGTGACGCAACGAGAAGCGTGACAGTTCAGTCTAAAGAACATGGCGGCTTCAGCCGATGAAACTAGCGTTAGCGTGGCTATCGAGCAAGTTTTATCGGAATTACAGAGTATTTCTTCACTGAAAGAAGAGCAAAACACTGCTCTGGAGGCTTTTCTCAGAGGAAAAGATGTTTTTGCTCTTCTCCCCACTGGTTTCACCAAGAGTTTGATCTATCAATTGGCTCCTCTTCGTCGTCGCTCTGTTAGTACGTCATATGCTTCGTTGATCTGATTGGTTTATTTGGCCCGTCTATCACCGACATAGGCCAATCAGCTAACCAGTATTTTCGCCCCTTCCCAAAATTACTTCAACGGAAGGTTTCCAGATGGATATGCGGAGCAAATCCATCTGGCGGAGTCAGGTTACAATATGGTCTGATAAAGAGAACATTTATATACATGTTTAAGCCAGAATGATTTGACATTTAAATATGACTTACCCTGCAACATTAAAGACCCCCTTTCAGAGACATAGACAGGTTTCAGGTATTACAGGCAAACAAAGAAACAAATGGATCCCCATTCCAAAGGGCTGGAACAGCTCATCAGGCTCAATTTGCATGTTTTCTAAGCCAAAACAAGGCTTTGTTTTCGGTCCACTCTATGAAGCTTTGAACTAAACGCTATTTCTGACATTTTGAATTGAAAAAGCTTCCTGGATGGAAGAGAAACGTCTTCAAACTTGGAAACAAAGTCCAGTTGATTGATTTTAACTTTTTAGAATAAATTCCAATCTGAGCTGTTTAATCCGTCTGAGCACCGGGTTAAAGTCGTGATGCAGGTGTGAACTTCCTGTCCAGGTGTGGAGCTCTTCATGTCTGAGGTGTACGACTCGGCATTTCCTCGTCTGCATTCTCCTCGATCCTTCTCTGAAACCAACATCTACAGAGTCCTGCAAAGGAGGATGCTGGGAGTTCGCCTCGCCCTCACCGGACACTTCAGATGTAAACTCACTGCACTCCCAGCAGAACATTCAGAACTCAGGGCTAAATCCAGACTGAGTAAAAGGTTTAACTTTAACACCAGTTGGAATCTGAGACCTTCCCCTCATCCCAATCAGGTCCGTCTGCTTGTGAGGAGGAGAGGCGCGTGGCCATGGAGTCATCCAGCGTTTTCGTCCCCTCCTGTGAAGCGGGAGGCTCGTTCAGGTCTAAGCAGTGTCAGCAGGGGGCGCAGTGCTGGTGTGTCGACCCAAAAGGAAGGGAGATTCCTGGGACACGGCGGCTCGGAGACTCCCTGCTCTGCGGTATGTGTCTCTCTACATGTTGCTAGTGGCTTATGTTCAGACCGCAGGCGTTTTGAGCATCAAAGAAGCTTCTGCTGCTTCATCTCTGATCCTCATTAAGGTCAGCCGTCCAGTAAAGTGAGTCCAGAAGCTTCTGCTGCTCCTGTGTTCGATGCCAGAGAGCAGCTTTGCTATATTAGCTGTGATCAGCGGGTAGAAAGTAGTTAGAATCTATGTTGAAGTGAGAAAGTCCTCCTGAAAACATGGTCTGTGCAGTCAGTTCATCCAGATTACCATCCTGCCTTCAAAGATTATTTCTCTGTGGGAGCCGCTCAGACCCCCACATACCGGCGCTGCGCTGTCACTGGGAATCCCCAGCAGCAGCTGCCTCAGGCCCGCTCGCCTCTCCAGGGTTTTCCCCTCCTGTTGGTGGCGGCTGGAAGTAGATGTTAGCGTTTTACAGGTCTGTGCTACAAACTGCAGGCAGCAGGATAATAAAAGCCAACATATTCTGCCGGCAGGTTTCTACATTTGAAGTTAATTTAGGCGTTAATAAACTGTTTCAGAGGAGTGATCATAGCGCTCTGCATCAGCAGTGCTGCGTCTGACTCCCTGCCAGCTCCCAGATCAGCTTCTCTGATTGTTTGATGCGACGCGTCCAGCAGCTAAAGTTACATTCTTCCATCTTGCGCCTCAGATGCTCATTAGGCGCTGCTCCTGCTGATCTAGACGCAATGCAGGACCTTCTGATGCGCCTTGATGCTCCTCAAACATTGACTTCGCATGTAAAGGGGTTGCTGCTGCCGCTGCTGCTCAAAGTGTGTGCAGTGTGAACGTAGCATTATAGTCAAACTTGACAAAAACAACTTCTGAAAACTCTTTTACATAAACCAAGAGAGATGGGGGATTAGGCTTAGCATGCTTTCATCATTACTATTGGGCAGCGAATGCAAGGGCCTCAGATGGCTAACGAAAGAAATACTGTTGGAAATGGTTCTCTTCAGGCACTTTTCTCAGCACCAATTTCCCCCAGAAAGTGAAGTAAATAATTTGATTGCTTCAAACTGTTTAAATATATGGAAAGACATATTTAAACAGTATTAAGATATACTTTGTCCTACCAATACCTCAGTTTACGCCCCAAACCCTCTGCACGCGGTTTGGCTGATTGAAAAAATCCTGTGCATTTCCATCTATGCTGGAAATGCAAAATGGAATCAGGAACTTTTATACATGGGAATGTAAATGCATCTCCCCATTCTGGAAAGCAGTATTACAACACATTGGATGTTGGATAGGGGTGGGGATACCCATGTCACCAAGACTATGTTTACTGGGGGATCCAACAGTGATGCCTAATATGCCTAAACATCAAAACACTGTGGTGCAGGTGGGGACGGTCACAGCTGCCAGAATAATCCTCAGACTATGGAAATCTTCAACTGTTCCAAATGTTGAAAGCTGGTTGGGATTAATGTTGGAAATAGTGTCATATGAACAAATGCTGGCTAAGCTAGATGATGACATAGAAAACTTCAAGAAATCTTGTAACTATTTTCTCTCCTGCAATACTGGGACAAGTAAACCTTTTTGATGAACATCTGTTTTGAAAGTATTGTTTACTGTGGATGTTTCTGCTGACTTCGAGGATAATTGTAAATGTCAATTTTCTGGGAAACTTAGTGATTTGATATGCGCTGGCCTGGCCGCTTTGGTTGTTTTTTTTTTTTGTTTTTTTTTTGTTTTTTTTTTTTGGTGAGGGGGTTGGGAGGGGTTATATACTTATGATCTGAAAAATAATAAAAACTTTAATAAAAAAAAAAAAACCTGTGCAGCTGATGTGGGCGTGTCCAGGTACGGGTGGTAATATGACAAACAAAATCAGAAAAAAACATGCAACACAACCAAAAATAAATCAAACAAGAAAGTAAATAACTTTAAAATAAAGCAAATCCAAATTAGAAAAATAAAACATGCAGTTAACCTCAAGTAAAGCGAAAAAAGGCCACAAAACCACAACTATCCTAAAGTGTAAATAATAAACAGTGCAGTGTAACAGTTACTTAGATAACTTCCCTCCCTTTTTTTTTTAAATAATTTGGTTATTATTTTTTTTCTTCCTATATCTCTCTCTTCTCTTTATCATCTGTTTTTTTTTCTATTGTTGTATTGGTAAGAGTATTTTTTTTCTTAGACCGTAAATTGATAAATATATGTATGCTTTATACTCGGGTGTGTGATTTTTCTATGTTGCACTTTGGAAACTTAATAAACATATTTTTTAAAAAGAAAAGAAAAACAGCTTGTGTTCCTTCTCCTTCTCCAGGTTCTGGTTCTGCTGACTGTCTCACTCGGCGCCGTCTGGCTCTGTCTCAGCTCTTCTCGGGTCCCATCCATGCTCCGGCAGATACCTCCTCCGGTGGCGCATCTCCAGCGGCTTGTCCCGCCCTCCTTCGTCCTCTCAGGGACCTTGTGTCGGTCGAGGAGGATCCAATCTCTGTCCTTTTCCCTTTAATTGAAGTTCTCCAGGGTTTATTTCCCTCAGTGGGCGGAGCCTTAGAGGCTCTAACACGCGCCACACCCCGCCGCCTCCAGGAGAATCTGTTTGGGGGGAAATTCCTGAAGAACGCTGCAGATTTTAACTTCAGTGGGGTGGTGGGAACCAGAGGAGCTCTCAGTTTGGACCAGCTGACCCCTCAGAACCTCAATCTGTTGAAGAACCGCGACCTTGTCCGGTCTGTGAGTCGAGCCCTGGAGGATCCTGCCTTCCTGTCTGCCCTCAAGGAAACACTGAAGAGTGCCAACAGCGCCCCCTCTGGGTCACTGCAGCAGGTCTGGAACTAGCCTAGATATTTCATTAGCGATAAGCTGCATCCTGCAATGAGCCGGTAAACCGTCTGCTGGGTCCTTGCAGGATGCAGCCTCTGAATGTGTCTCCAGATGCACAAATTCACCTGCCGGCGAAATATTTTCACTTTTATTATCCGGGTGCATCCGTCCAGGTCCGTGAAAATTAGGAGGCCAGAAGAGTTTTGGCTGTGGATTCAAACAGATCCAGCCTTTTTCAGCATTCACCGCCCGTACGCTCTGTCGCTTAGCAACCGTAACAGTTGACTGAACTTCTTATGCTGTTCTGGCTGCTAATAACATTTCTGAGGAGCTTCAGCAGCAGAACCGTCATCTCAGATATCAGATTTATGGTCCAAACACTGCAGAGATGTTGGAATCTGAGCTAAAATGACAGCCAAACCCGTTTACACAGGGACAGATAAACGTAACGGGGAGTCTTCCGATCCGCACAGGCCTCGGCGCCGAACTATGATGTTATCGGCCGAAGAATCTGGCCTGGTAGAGAAGCAAGTTTTGAGCACAGGGAGAGTCTATTTCACCTTAACATCCAGCTGAGACCAAGCAGAGGAGCTGATTTATTTCACGCTCTGATTACGTTAGCCCTGGCCGCTGCAGACGGGCTAACGTTAGCCCTGGCCCCTGCAGACGGGCTAACGTTAGCCCTGGCCCCTGCAGACGGGCTAACGTTAGCTAAGGCCGCTGCAGACGGGATAACGTTAGCACTGGCTGCTGCAGACGGGCTGCGGTTAGCCCTGGCTGCTGCAGAAGGGCTGCGGTTAGCCCTGGCCGCTGCAGAAGGGCTGCGGTTAGCCCTGGCTGCTGCAGACGAGCTAACGTTAGCCCTGGCTGCTGCAGAAGGGCTAGCGTTAGCCCTGGCTGCTGCAGAAGGGCTAACGTTAGCCCTGGCTGCTGCAGAAGGGCTGCGGTTAGCCCTGGCTGCTGCAGAAGGGCTAACGTTAGCCCTGGTCGCTGCAGACGGGCTAACGTTAGCCCTGGCCCCTGCAGACGGGCTAACGTTAGCTAAGGCCGCTGCAGACGGGATAACGTTAGCACTGGCTGCTGCAGACGGGCTGCGGTTAGCCCTGGCTGCTGCAGAAGGGCTGCAGTTAGCCCTGGCCGCTGCAGAAGGGCTGCGGTTAGCCCTGGCTGCTGCAGACGAGCTAACGTTAGCCCTGGCTGCTGCAGAAGGGCTAGCGTTAGCCCTGGCTGCTGCAGAAGGGCTAACGTTAGTCCTGGCTGCTGCAGAAGGGCTGCGGTTAGCCCTGGCTGCAGCAGCCAGGGCTAACGTTAGCCCTGGCTGCTGCAGAAGGGCTAACGTTAGCCCTGGCTGCTGCAGAAGGGCTAACGTTAGTCCTGGCTGCTGCAGAAGGGCTAACGTTAGCCCTGGCTGCTGCAGAAGGGCTAACGTTAGCCCTGGCTGCTGCAGAAGGGCTAACGTTAGTCCTGGCTGCTGCAGAAGGGCTGCGGTTAGCCCTGGCTGCTGCAGAAGGGCTAACGTTAGCCCTGGTCGCTGCAGACGGGCTAACGTTAGCCCTGGCTGCTGCAGAAGGGCTAACGTTAGCCCTGGCCGCTGCAGAAGGGCTGCAGTTAGCCCTGGCTGCTGCAGACGTGCTAACGTTAGCCCTGGCGGCTGCAGAAGGGCTAACGTAGCCCTGGCCGCTGCAGACGAGAATGCACAAGTACACAGATTGAGAAACGGCCTTGTAGACAGACATACTCAAAAAGTACAACTTTAAACTAACTGAAACAATGTATCTAACTAATTAATACTCCTAAATTACTCACAGAGATACATTATGGTTACTGTACTAATAATTACAGTTTATTTATTATATCAAATGTAATTAGTTAGGAGTAAGAGTATCACTGCTGCCACCTTTGGGTTTAGAGGGGAACTGCTCGTTCTGAAGGTAATAAATGATGTCCTCATGGGAGCAGCAGAAACAGCACCACACTCTAAGCAACATTCTTGAGGAAAATCTTAAATATCTTTAAACCTAAAGTGTGATTGTAGATAACAAGATCAGATAAATTCCAACTTCTATTACCCGGTTAGACTGTGAATAAAGGTCCTGAGAGAAAGGAGGCCGTTCGTCGGCCCTCTGGGAGGAGCGTAGAACAGACACATTATGCCAGAAACAGAAAACGGAGCTCTGATGCGTTCGCTTGGGCTGTTTTATCTGTTCTTTGTTGTAAAATATCAGCTTCCAGACTCAGACTTGTCTGATCTCAGATCATCCTGCAGCCTAATGAGGTTCCACCTCTCAGCAGATCAACCTCTTTAATCCTTCCTGGTTATTTACCGGGTACAAGAACGGATAACAAAAACATCCCTTGTTTGAGGAGTAAAAATTCATCTTGTTTCAGGTCCTGAATCCTGTTCTGAGTTCCTGCTCTGAGGAAGGAGAGGATGAGTCGGCAGCCATCTTTATCCCCCGCTGTACGGCCAGCGGCGGCTTCCAGCAGGTCCAGTGTCGGGGTTCACAGTGCTGGTGTGTCGACTCTCAGGGTCAGGAGGTTCCAGGTTCTCGAACCGCCGGCCATCCATCCCGATGTCCGTCCCGCTGCGAGACGGAGCGCGCCACAGCTTTGAAGGTGAAATCCAACATGGCCGCTGGCGCTGAGATTTACATCCCAGCATGCTCAGAGGATGGAGGCTTCCTGCCGCTTCAGTGCGTCGGACCGCGCTGCTTCTGTGTGGATGCTGAGGGGAGGAGGATGGCTGCCGGTCCAACAGGGGGCGCTGTCACCTGTAAGACAATTCAGAGGGGTTAATCTGGGTCAGATGTGAATCTCTCTGGTTGTGATCATGTCTGCTGTGTTTCAGGTCCAGAGAACCAAACACTGAAGCTGCAGCCGTCTGAAGGTGAGCTCAGAAATTTCAAACTAATTTGATTTCTGCACATTTTAGTTTGTGGAATCACTTCAACTCTGAACTATTGGGGAATATAAATAACAAATAGTCATTTATATTCTACATCAATCAATCTTTCTACAGGACTGATCAAAAGTACTGAACACATCCATAAATAAATAAGTACATACATAAAAGACGATAAAAGACATAAAAAAGACATAAATCAGTGATAAAATTCTCCTTCCTTCCTTCCTTCCTTATCTTCCTTACTTACCTTACCTTACTTACCTTATCTTACTTACTTACCTTACTTACTTACCTTATTCACCTTACTTACTTACCTTACTTACCTTATTTACCTTACTTACTTACCTTACTCACCTTACTTACTTACCTTACTTACCTTACTCACCTTACTTACTTACCTTACTTACTTACTTACCTTACTTACCTTACTCACCTTACTTACTTACCTTACTCACCTTACTTACTTACCTTACTTACTTACTCACCTTACTTACTTACCTTACTCACCTTACTTACTTACCTTACTTACTTACTCACCTTACTTACTTACCTTACTCACCTTACTTACTTACCTTACTCACCTTACTTACTTACCTTACTTACTTACTCACCTTACTTACTTACCTTACTTACCTTACTCACCTTACTTACTTACCTTACTTACTTAGTTACTTACTTCGAAGCCGGACATGAACTTTGCGATATCTTCAATCATTGTACTCAGCTAGAGCTCAAACTGTGCGACTCACAGTGTGAGAACCGTATGTTCTCTGTTCCAAAAACCACATGTGAAACTCATCGCCAAGAGATGGCGCTAGATGGACTCGTCGATGTGGCAGAACAGGAAAAAGAACTCCCTTGTTTGTGCAGTGCTGAAGGTTCTGGTAAATCGGCTCGTAGCTCTGCTTCAACAGGATTTGCCCACCTTACGACGGCCGACAGAATTTCAAACATGTTTGATTTTCTCCCGACCTTACGATTCCTGATGGGGAGGCGGTCGTTAGAGGCTGATCGGCCCTCGTTACGCCCTGAATACTATAAGACGAAAAAAGTCTCGCATGACTGGAGAATCGGCGTGAAAAGGGCAAAAACTCCTTTCCTTCCCCCCAGTTTCCGGCGCTGACTGGCCTCCACCCACAGTGTTAGCTTCAGCTTCAGATTTGTCGGCATGTCGTCGTGTGTTTTTTGATCTGAGGACCTTTTTTCATCAGAACTTCTCTGACCTTCCATCACCTGCTACCTTTCAGGTCCCTGCTCCAAGGCGCTCGCTGAGGTCACTGCATTCAGACAGGAAGTGCAGAGCTTCATCACCCTCTCTAACTCCTCCCACTTCCCTGTGGGATATGGATTTCTATTGGCCGAAGGTCTGAGCCTGACGGCCGAGGAGCTGCAGAGGAGCCAATTAGAGGAGGAGTTGAAGGTGTCTGAGCGGCTGCTGAGTCGCTCCAGATCTGCGCTCCGATTGGCTGCTTTCTCCAGTGAGTTACAGCCACAGAAGTAATCTCAGATTTATCTGAAGATTAAACTGCAGAATCTTTGCTTTTGTTTGTGAAAATGATTCCTGGTTTGATTTACTTGGCCTGAAAGATTTCCAGTGTTTTATGGAAATATAATCCTTTGAGCTAAAGAGTTAAATAATAATCCGTTTTCTGATGCTCATACTGTGAAAAAAATGACATCTAGATATGTCATTTTTTCCTAAAAAGAGAGCATTTGTTTTTGGAAAAAGAGACATTTTGCCAATAAAAGAAGCCAATTTACACTTAAAATAAGAACAATACAATTGCATTGTTTTATTTCTAGAGAACGTTATCTAATGATCTTATTTTAAGAGTAAAAATACTCATTCCATTGGGAACTCATTTCATCTACCTACTCAAATTAAAGGTAAATATCCTTAATTTGAGACATTTTTACTTATTCCTAGATAGTTTTTCCAGCGTTGGATCAACACTGGAAAAATTATCTAGAAATAGGTACAAATTTTTTAAATTAAGCTTTAAAAAAGCTTCAAGAGTGATAAACTGCACAGCAAAAACATTCAACAAATGAGTAAAAATGTCTTAAATAAGTGTATTCACCCTTAATTTAAGCTGGAAAATAAGATGATCTGCCAATGGAATTAGCATTTTTACCCTTGAAATCAGATAATTTGATATTATGCACTTGAAATAAGAGACTTCTGTTGTTTTTTTCTTATTTTAAATGTTAATGTTCTTATTCCATTGGCGAAGTGTCTCACCTACCTGCTCAATTTAAGAAAAAAAGCACCTATTTTAAGAAATAATTACTAACTTAGGTTAACATGTTTCGCAGTGTGTGACAATCTAATGCACTTCACCATTTTGCAACCCTCTTAAATGTCGCTGAACATTTGGTTCTTCCTTAGCTGTGCAAATGCTGCTTCCTCCTCATGGTCGGTCCTACCAGCTCTTCACTCCACAGTGTGACGCTGAGGGAAACTGGAGGCCCACTCAGTGCCACCGCAGCACAGGTGTCTGTCTCACACACACGCTCTCATTTTCAGCCATTAAATAAGACAGTTATAGATGCTGTATTTGATTTCTTATTTATTGTTTTCAACAAAAATCTTATTCCATTGAAGATTTTACTTACCTGTATAAATTAACTTATTTAAAGAAAAAATCTGGTCAGCAAGGAATAATAAAAGGATCATTATTTATACCTAAAACTAATACGTTCGCCATCATATCATGAATTTTGTCTTAAAAAAATAAAAAACAATAATTTTCATCCCAATCACAGAGTCTGGGAGCGGCCATTTTTGCCCAAATATAGTAGCCCCTCCCTCCTGCCATCTTCCAGCAGTGACGTCACGGTGCGGTAAGCCTAGCGCCATTCTCCCCGCTTTCCAAGCTAAATCAATGGGAACTACTAGACACATCTGCAATCAACAACAATTATTGAAGATTTCCAGAGGACTTCACCATTGAAATTCACCAGAGCTATAGTGAAACTGACAATGCCCACGTGCATGGCAGCTGGATGCTGGAATACATCGGGTAAAAGTGAAAAGAAAGAGTTATTTCACCTTTCTGATTCCTGATCCTCCACGGACGGGTTGGTCGTTGGATCGCCAACTTGAAGAGGGAGGATTTGCCATCGAACTTCTGGCCAGAGAAAAAACCCGTAATATGTAGCCAACATTTGGAAGAAGAATGTTTTCAAGATGACTTGGATAATAGCGCGTTGTGACAAACACCAGATACAGCACTGGGACTTGATCAACAGCCGATACCGCACCGTGACGTCACTGACCAGTAGGTGGCAGTAGTGTTCTTTGACAAACATGGATGCCTCCAGTAAAGCACATTCACATGAAAATTACTCTGAATTAACAACACTGATCATTTATTGAACAGGATGGAATCATTTCAGATTTAAATATATTTATGACCGGACTTTTCCTTTAACATAATTTTAAAAGGAAAAGGCTCAGTTTGAGTAACCGTACAATCTGGCAGTGCTCTCACTGTTATGCAGATTTTCCAGTTCCAGTCTAAATAGATTATTAAAGTCATTAAAACGATTCTCTGCCTCCCAAAAAATAAGGTTTAACTGAACCTGAAGAGTCATAAATAGCAGAAGTCTTTCAGAAACTGTACTCTCAAAGTATAAAAAAATAATAAAGTAGTTTTTAATTGAAATTGGCCACAGTTAGACCCAAATTCAAGAAATTGATTCCTCTCCTTCTCTATAATGACCAACCTGTAGAGCCCAGAAATACAGTAGCAGCCATTCAAAATGGCCCTTCCCTGTCCAACGCCAGCCGAATGGCAGCTCACTTCCTTCCAACTCCCAGCAAAATACCCTCCCAACTTCCAGCCACAGTACTGACCCCCTCTTGCATAATTTTTTCCTCTGACTTCACTGAATTATAGGGTCTGACCAGAAGATGGTGCTTCTCTTTAGGTCCTAATGTCCACAGATATTTACAGAAAGAATAGTTTAGACCAAAGATTGATGTTTAAAAAGGAATTGAAGGGAACTAGCCAAGGACCAGCAAAGGACCAGCAAAGGGCGAGCCAAGGACCAGCCAAGGACCAGCCTAGGACCAGCCAAGGACCAATCTAGGACCAGCCAATGACCAATCTAGGACCAGCCAATGACCAATCTAGGACCAGCCAATGACCAATCTAGGACCAGCCAAGGACCAGCCAAGGACCAATCTAGGACCAGCCAAGGACCAATCTAGGACCAGCCAAGGACCAATCTAGGACCAGCCAATGACCAATCTAGGACCAGCCAATGACCAATCTAGGACCAGCCAAGGACCAATCTAGGACCAGCCAAGGACCAATCTAGGACCAGCCAATGACCAATCTAGGACCAGCCAATGACCAATCTAGGACCAGCCAAGGACCAGCCAAGGGGCCATAAAGGAAAGTGGGGACATTTTGAATGGCTACTACTGTACCTGTTGCTCAGAGTTCAGGATGGCTGTAGATCCTGACCATTGAAGATGCATAACCTGAAAGTGGTTCCTGAAACTTCTGAAGATGGGTTCTTCAAAGGTTTCCTAGACCAGGTGGAGGGATGCCATTGCTAGATCAGTATCTGGATCAGTTGGGCTCTTCGTCAAGATGAACTCCAAATCTACAGAAAACTGCCGGCTTATTGGAGACCCTATCCTTACGGAGAGAGAGAGAGAAGATAGACTGTGACTCTCAGGAAGACAGCGACCTTAAAATCTCAAATCTTCAAATTTGGATTTCTGGACAGAGTTCGGGAGGCTGAACGCTGAGCAGAGAGAGCAGAACGTTAGAGATTGAACTAACAGATTCTGCAGAGTGGGAGAATAGAGATAGAATGAAGCAGAGTGATGAAAAAGGGGTCCCTATGTCTTCCAGCAGTCTAAGCCTATAGCAGCAGAACTATAGAGATAGCTGAGGATAACCTGAGCCACTCTAACTAGAAGCTTTATCTGATGTTCTTTAATGTTGGTGTTTAGGTGCATGTGATGCTAACCATCCTCCCCAGAGTAGCATCAGTGTGTTGGATGTCTCCTTGTTTCTGTGTGCTCAGGTCAGTGTTGGTGTGTGAATGAAGAAGGAGACTACATCCCAGGATCTCTGAGCAGGCGGTCCCTCCGCCTGCCGCAGTGTAAGAAAACACACACAGCCTGTTTCACCTTCAGTCTCACTCTGCCCTCTGCAGACCTCTGGATGTAAAATAATATTACTGCATTAATCCAGGAAGGTCTTTGTGATCATTTTGGCCTCAAACCCACCTGAAAGCACAGAGATGACCTGTCTGTGGCGTCGGAGCTGATCCACTAACGTTAAAGCTTGGATCTGTATGCTGGGGAATATTCTCAGTCATCCAGGTCATTCCACAAAAGTTAAAAATCAATCCTCTGGACTTTGTTTCCAAGTTTGAAGACGTTTCTCTTCCATCCAGGAAGCTTTTTCAATTCCAAATGTCAGAAATAGCGTTTAGTTCCAGGTTTTATCCAGCAGCCCAACAAAGCCTGGTTTTAGTTTAGAAAACATGCAAATAGAAACGGATGAACGGGTCCCCCCCTTTGGAATGGGGGTCGTTTGGCTTCTTTGTTAGCCTGCAATGCCCCATACCTGTCTATGTCTCTGAAAGGGGGTCGTTAGAGGGAATTGTTGGCCTGGATGAAAACACGTGGTCTTCTGTTCCCCATCACGACCCCGACCCCTTTACAGGGGACCAGAAGACCTCGTCTGTTCAGCCAGGCCAACAATTCCCTCTAACGACTGTGGTGCAAAAAAAGTTTCAACTCTACAGTCCAGTTAAATAAACGGAGATCGATGGATTTTACTCAGTTGGAACAAGACATTCACAGCCGGACGGTCTGCCCTGTTCTGACTTAGAGTCGTTCCCTTGCTTATAAGGCAGAGTCAAATTACAGACACCTTGGTTAAACAAGAACACATTATGAATAAACCTTGAGAAAGAATCTGGTTTGTTATGGGAAAAAGTATGTCTTGTCTATATCCACCCCTCACTCAGAAATTTTGTGGCTTTGCAGGTGAAACAAACTGAGTTAAAAAATATATAAATTTTAGACAGTAAATAGCATCCATCAACATATGAAAGAAGAAATGAATAGAAATCTAAATTGTCCGACCACAACGCCCCCCCTTTCAGAGACATAGACAGGTATGGGGCATTGCAGGCTAACAAAGAAGCCAAACGACCCCCATTCCAAAGGGGGGGACCCGTTCATCCGTTTCTATTTGCATGTTTTCTAAACTAAAACCAGGCTTTGTTGGGCTGCTGGATAAAACCTGGAACTAAACGCTATTTCTGACATTTTGAATTAAAAAAGCTTCCTGGATGGAAGAGAAATGTCTTCAAACTTGGAAACAAAGTCCAGAGGATTGATTTTTTTACTTTTTTGGAATAAAGCTTGGTGAGGTTTATTTTGTTATGACTTTTATTTGAACTAAACTCAGAGGTGGAAACACAGCAGCACAATAAGACACCAAGGTACCCAGATTTCCTCTTAATTCAACGTAATCCGTTCACCTTCAATTCAATTCTATTCAGTTTATTTCTATAGCTCCAATTCCCATCATGTCATCTCAGGTCACTTTCCAGTTCACCAGATCATCCAGTCAGATTGATTCAAAGTTTTCTATCTAAGGAAAACCAGCTGATTGCATCGACTCATTGACTCTTCAGCAATCCCTCACACTAAGCATGCTTGTAGCGACAGTGGAGAGGAAAAACTCCCTTTGAACAGGAAGAAACCTCCAGCAGAACCAGGCTCAGTGTGAGCGGCCATCTGCTGAGGCCCACTGGGGTTCAAGGAGACAGAAGCAGACATAGAAAAAGAAGCATAGATACAAAAAGCAGCTGTAAAAGGTGGCTTCCCTCCTAAAATCCCCCTATCAGATGAGAGAGCACTATTGCGATGTGTTTCATGGAGGAAAAAGGTCCTTTCCAGGAACTGGTTTAGCCAGAAGACTTGGCTAACTTCTAACTTCAGAGGATTGGCTCATAACTCATCACAAACAGACAGAAAGTCTTTGCTGAGGTGAATCATCCAGGTCTGTTTAATCCTGCAGTGAAAAGGCTGCAAAAAAGCTCCAAATGCGTCCCAGAGGAGATCTTTGTGTTGCAGGCTGTGCAAAGAGTCTATGATCCCTGATCCACATGTTTCAGGCCTGCAGAACTGAAACATGTGGTGTCCCCGGGGACGGTTTATTCCATAAGCAGGATGCCGTGCACATGTTGAGGATGAATAGGAAATTCATTTAACATGTTGCCAGTATTCATCTGCTAAACTGGTTCCCAGCTCCTGAACCCAGTTTGTCTTTCTTGCTTTATAAACTTTTACCTCCTTAAAAAGTTTATTTTATCCCCGCAGGTCCGACTCGCTGTCAGAGAGCAGAGGCTCTCTCTCTGCTTTCCGATTGGATGAAAGCCGCTGACATCACTTCCTCCCCATCTTACCGCCCACGGTGTAAGCAGGTGAAGCACATGGCCTCAGCGTTCGCTGGCAGAGATTCAGGGACGGTCAGACGCCAGAACTGCCACCTTTAGAGTCGCCTTTAGTCATTTCTACAGGTGCAGTTAATAAAAAAAGAGAAGTCCACCAGTAAACCATACGGCAATAAAATAATCCAATTCTTCTTTAAATCACCACCTGCAGCGTCTGACCGCCATTTTGAAAACACTTATTGAATGAACCATTTTTCTACAGACCAGTTATGTTAATGCAGTTTTCAGTTCAGTTTATTTCTATAGCTCCAATTCACAACATGTCATCTCAAGGCAGCAATCCCTCACACTAAGCATGCTTGTAGCGACAGTGGAGAGGAAAAACTCCCTTTGAACAGGAAGAAACCTCCAGCAGAACCAGGCTCAGTGTGAGCGGCCATCTGCTGAGGCCCACTGGGGTTCAAGGAGACAGAAGCAGACATAGAAAAAGAAGCATAGATACAAAAGGCAACTGTCAACCAGCTCCACAGGCGGCCCCGTCCAGGAAACACACAGCCAGGCAGACGAGCTCCGAGCCAGCTCCCATGTCAGAGGATGAAGAGAGCACATCCAGTTAGTCACAGTCAGAGAAACAGGACTACACTGGAAAACAGGCCAAGCTCCAACATCTAGAAACAAAGGTGTTGATGGCAGCAGCACAGCTGATATTTCTCTCCAGGATGGAGTCACAGCCAAACAGGAACAGACCAGATGAAGCTACTATGAGAAAAAGCAGAGAGAGCAGAACGTTAGAGATTGAACTAACAGATTCTGCAGAGCGGGAGAATAGAGATAGAATGAAGCAGAATGATGAAAAAGGGGTCCCTATGTCCTCCAGCAGTCTAAGCCTATAGCAGCAGAACTATAGAGATAGCTCAGGATAACCTGAGCCACTCTAACTAGAAGCTTTATCAAAAAGGAAAGTTTTAAGCCTAGCCTTAAAAGTAGACAGGGTGTCTGCCTCACGGACTAAAACTGGTAGTTGGTTCCACAGGAGAGGAGCCTGATAACTAAAAGATCTGCCTCCCATTCTACTTTTAGAAATTCTAGGAACCACTAGTAAGTGTAAAGGAAAGTATTAGTTACCTGTCAGAATATAATCTTCATTATAATCTGATGCTCACTGACTTGCTGCCATATTTTGTCTTTTGTTGTCTTTCATTTTCATATAAAGGTACATTTTACTTTAACACGGACGTTCTGTTTTTTAGGACGGACGCTTCTCCGTGCTGCAGACAGAAGGCGCTGTAGGCTGGTGTGTGAGCCCGCTGAAAGGAGAGACGTTAAAACCAGCAACGCGAGGTGGTGTGGGGGAGCTGACGTGTAAGCAAACACATGCAGAGTTCAAATTCAGCTGCTGCGTCCTACGACGGCCAGATTACGTCATAGCGTGGACTCCTCGTTATGCGGCCGACAAATGTGTCCCTCTTTTTGCCTGCTTGAAGGACAGGTCCGCTGTATCCTGCGTAGCCTTGTTTGTGAGTCCAAACGAGCCGGCTGCTCTGTGCTCAGAGGAAAAAAAGGAAAATGGCGCCAAACAGTGGAGAACATTGGAAGTGCAGTTTAAATAATCGCAGTATGTGATTAGTTCCGTCTGAAATGAATGAAAATAGTTTTTTTAATGGTTATTGAGTCAGATATAGGTTTGCCATTGACATTTCAGCTAAGCCAAAAAGGGTTGGCTGAGTGGGGGAATATGGGAGAATTATCCTGCCATAATGCAAGAGCACATCATTTCAATTTGAGAAAAGAATTTCATCTTCTTGCACTCAAAACTTATAATGCTCACACTCAAAACATGCGCTCTCTCTCAAATATTTTCTCTTCTCTCTCAAATCTTTGTTTCTTCTCTCAGATTTAATGCTTCTTGCACAGATATTTTCTCCTCTCGCTTGCCTCCTTATCTTCACGCTCGAGTCTCAGATACGCTCGCAAACCTGTAGGCTCTGCTTGCGGATTTTTTTTGCTCTCTCTCGGATTGCAGTCAGATCGTCGCCTAGCAACCTTTCAAGCCAATAGAATGACAGCCTCAGAAAGGGTGCGCTTGTTTAACCTTACTGAGTGTGCCTGTGATAAACCTTACCGACAATAAAATGGCTTTTTAATTTAAAAGCTATTAAAATAAGAAGCTGGAAAAACAACAATAATCAGGAAAATAAAAAAAGGAAATAATAAAGGGCGATTCAAGAATCACCAATGAAAAGTCACTTAACTTCTGCTGGAGGCAGAATTAGCATCTGCCCTGACTAGCAAACTTTTTTTTTTTCTTTTTTCTGCCTGTGAGCATTATAAGTTTTGAGTGCAAGAAGATTAAATTCTTTTCTCAAATTGAAATGATGTCCTCTCCCATAGGGGAAGGGCTTACTGAGGCCATGCGTGAACGCTGCCTTTGGCGCTTTCTCATGGCTGCCGAGGGCCCCAACCTGTAGGCGGTTCACTATAGCTCCGCCTTTATTCTGTGGAAAGATAGGAGCAACATTGTAAAGGAAGAGGAGAAAAAAAAAACATATTTCACACTTTATCCTTGACAGGATACAGTTTAAGATATAAAAAAATATATAAAAAAAAAATCTCAGCAGAAGAAAAGCACACGTAAACATTTCTGCAGAAGGAAAACATCAGACATTAACGTCACGGACCTGGAAGAACCCAGTCCAGAGAGACCGGGTCCTTGGAGGACGCAGCCGCTCAAATCAAACACCTGGCACTCTGCTGCGTTCACTGTCTCTCTGTGAAATCTCTGCTGCCTTCAGGTCCCAGCTGGTGTGAGCTGCAAGGTCTCCAGTGTCACCCTGATGGTTCCTTTGCCCCGCTGCAGTGTGATGTCACTTCCTGCTGGTGTGTTTCTGAGGGTGGACAGGAAGTGGCTGGGACTCGGATACTTCGACGGACGGGACGCACGCCATCATGTGACCGTGAGTTAGAGATGAGGGAGCCTCCTAGTGGACGGCAGCAGAACTGAGGTCTCTGATTGGTCCAAATACTTGTCCTTTTCTCTCAGGTCCTCTTTGTCCTGCCCCCAACATTACCCATGGTGCATTGCTGTGCCGTCCAGGAGCTGCTGGACAACAAAACTGTGACCTCATCTGTCACCATGGTTACCAGAACTCACTTCCTGTTAGCAGCTTTGTCTGCATTGCTGAGAGTCGTCAGTGGGGAGAAGACAGACCTTTGAGAGGAGCCTGTCAGAGTGAGAAGCTACTCAACTTTAATCTAGTCATAGATAATTAAATTTAATCTGGTTTAATATGAGATAATCTGGACAAATCTGGTTTAATCACAGTTGATCAGATCTAATCTGATTAGAGATTATCAAATCTAATTTTGCCAGAAATAATCAAGATCAATCTGGTCAGAGATGAAGAATTCTAATCTTGTTTAATCTGGCTCAACTAGAAATAATTAAGTCTAATCTGGTTTAATCTGAAATAATCGGTTCTAATCTGTTAATTAATAGAAATAGTAAAATCCATTCTGGGTTAATCTAGTTCAATCAGAGATAATTAAAGGTCTCATATTACAATATACTACGTTTGAAAAGGAAAAATATTCCCAAACCTCCAGAGCAGGAAAACTCCGCTCAGATTAGGCCGAAGGTGTGCATCAATAACCTCCTCATTCAGCCCTCTGCTCGATGAGCTGTTTTTCCAAACCCTCGCCCTCCCTAAGACCACACCCCCCCACACCCTGCAACCATGACAACCAGTCAGAGTTCGTAATGATGGTGGCACACAGAGCGGAAAAATACGGAAGAGAAAGGCCGACATTAAAGGGCTGCTACAGACGCCCTGAGCGGCTTACCAGCGTAACTCGAGCAGCTTAACCAGATAATCGCTCGTTGACAATAATTTTTTAGGTTAAAAACAATAATACACTTTTTTTTATCCCATCGGAAATATGGACGAATCTCACTCTAATCATCTCAGCACAGAAAATGAAACCTACGTTCAGAACGATCCCGATTTTCCATGGAAACTCTATACCGTAAACAACCTTTCAATAAATAAACAGGTACACCCAGTAGCCCGTTAGCCTGAGCTGCTACGCCCTCTATCTGCTGTAACGAGCTATTCAACCTGCAATTAACAAAAGTAATTTAACACAATTAGATTTACTGCAGATATCATGTCAGGAAAAGACTGTTTGTGAAGCATGTAGAAGATTATCCATCTTATAAAATCATCAAAACAGCCGAGGACCCAACGGTTAACATGTTTACAGGTCTAATTTAATCTAAGCAGTTTAATCTGACATTGTTTAATCCGAGTTCATTGAGTCTAATCTTGTTTAATCTGGTCAGAGACAAGCGAGTCAATCTTAGTTTAATATAGCTGAACAATAAATAAGTAATTTAATCTGTTTTATTCCAAGTGAATCAAGTTTAATCTGGTTTGGTCGGATCTTATTGGTATAATCTGCTTTAACCAAAGGTAATGAAATTTAATCTGGTTTATTCTGTGTAATTCAGAGGTACCCCGTTTGTGTCTTAGTCTCTCAGCCTCTGCAGACGGTGTCGTTCTCTCAGCAATGGGCGCTCCTGCTGTCCTGCTCTCAGACGGACGATTTAAAGTCATTGTTGTTCAACATGCTGACCAGCAGGGCGCTCTGCTCTGCTCAGGTGAACTCAGTTGTTTAAAATCGCAGCTGGTGGGTCGTCCAAACATTCCGTAGACTCTGTTGGGATCTTTGTGTTTGTTTTTCTTTTGCTGCAGACCGCATCCGGCCAAACGGTGGCACTATGTGACGAGTCGTCTGTGGGACTGAGATGTGATGATGCCGACTCTGTGACTTTAACGCTCAGGTGGACTGTGGCCCTCGCTGACCTCCAAACCTCTGACCTCCCTCACCTCCATGATATCAGTGAGTTTTGATAAATGTAGCTGCTTAACCTTTTAGGTTAGTTCTTTAGGGATTCCCTGCTGCTGCCAGCAGGTGGAGACAGATTTCTTTTAGTCTGGCAGTAAAATTCTTCATCTATGGTACCAACCAGTCTAGACCTGCTTATGCTTGTGAGGAGGGGCATCAGGGCCTGTCTCCGGAGGTCATGGTCAACGCCAGACAGGCTCCCGCTCACAGAGAAAACTAATCCTGCACAAATACACCAACGGTGAATTCACTCTAAATAACCCAAAACTCTCAAAATGCGGAAAGATCCCAGACAGAGATTTCTACTGAGGAGCTTCTGGCTGCAGCAGCTCCTGAGGAGTTGCAGGAAGCCGATCCAAGACAGGGACACAGGGCAGACAGGAACAGCCAGATCAGACGGGATCCAGATCAGGCAGGAACAGAACAGATGACAGGATCCAGACTTCCAGGCAATACCAAGCTCCCAGACAGGTTCAGAGTCTGACAGAGTTCAGAAGCGTGGCCAGACGGTCACGCACAGGAGCAGACAGGATCCAGTGCAGACAGGCAGGCTCAATGAAAGAGGGTAGCCGAGACAGGACGTGGAACCGGAACTTGATGCAGGAACTTTAAACTGGTCTTCTCCCTTTAGCCAGGCTTACTGGATAAAAACTGAACCGCCCCACATATAGAGCCAAAAACCCAGAGGACTCCGCGGGGGAGGAACAGTGGACGATCAGGAGACGAGACAAACACAAAAACCCTCTTTCCACTGGCTGCTAGGATCCAGGACATGAACCATGAAATAAACAGACTGAAAAGAATAACTAACTGAAAACAAATAATGATCTGGCCCTGAATGCTCAGGCTGTACAGAATATAACCCAGAAGAAAGAAACAGGTGAGAGGAATAAACTATAATTGAGGCAGGGAGGGAAAACGGCAGGTGAAAGAAATAACCAATTAAGGGAGAGAAAACAGGCCAAATCAGGACAGATGGAGCTGCTAATGAAGTCAAACTTTCATCTAAATCCATCACTGATCCGATCAGATTTTTGTTTCCTCAGTTCTTTTTCATTATTATATCATTTGATCATTTTGGTACAAACCATAGGCGGTTCTAGACAGGGGCCAGTGCCACTCTTCACTAGCGTTTTTGTGTTTGCATAATTTACGTTTGTTAGTCACATTTGCTGTCAAATCGTGTATTTGCATGGATGGATGATGGATGGATGGATGGATGGATGGATGGATGGATGGATGGATGGATGGATGGATGGATGGATGGATGGATGGATGGATGGATGGATGGATGGATGGATGGATGGATGATGGATGGATGGATGGATGGATGGATGGATGGATGGATGGATGGATGGATGGATGGATGGATGGATGATGGATGGATGGATGATGGATGATGGATGGATGGATCAATTTATCAACTGATGATGTTATTTTTTCTTCAGCGACCTTCTTAAATGAGTCCAGACTCTTGGATGGTGTTCAGGGAATTCTGGGTAACCTCCGCTCCTCCCTGACCTCTGATCCCAAACTGATTTCCGTGATGCCACCAAGCTTCGGCTGTTCCCATGGTTACCACCTGGACAGTGATGGAGAAGGCTGCTGTGAGTCTTTTTTTCTCTTCAGATCTTTCTTCCTTCTCAGACTCACAGCTTTGCTTTCTTTCTGCTTGCAGTGGTTTGTCCTGCTGGTACCTTCTTCCAGCAGGGGGCGTGTCTTCCATGTCCTCAAGGAACCTATCAGGAGGAACAGGGGCGGGGCTTCTGCAACAAGTGTTCAAGAGGCTCCTCCCCTGCAGGCGCTTCATCAGCCAATCAGTGTAAGTCTTTGTTCTGTTTCTTCTTGCTGACGATGTTTGACTGGTGAGCTCACCTGTTCTCAGGTGGATGTTAGAGAATCAAAACCATAAATAAATGATGTAATCACACAATCTATCATAAACTGAGCAGTAGTACGGTTAGACGCCGGCGTGTTCATAAGAACGTCTCACCTGTCCTCCTCACAGGTGAGACGGACTGTGAGAGGCGGGGTCTGCGGTGTTCAGAGCGAGGAGAGTTTCTGCCAGCTCAGCCAGACTTCCTGTCTGGCAGGTGGAAGTGTTTCAGCAGGGAGGGGGCGGAGCTTGACTGGACCACCAGTGAAAAGCCTCTGACAGATGAGGATTGCTCAGGTACAGCAGCAGCCAATCAGAGGACAGATGGTGATGTATTTTAAGCTGATGGTTGTGTTCTCCTCTCTCTGTCACTCAGTTCTCAGAAGGTTCCAGACTGTTCCTGGATCAGATGTAATGTTTGGAAGTGAAAACACTGACGTCCTCAAGACAATGACCTCTGACCTCACTACCTGTGTCCATGGTAACACCAACATCCTGTAGACTTAGAGTGAATGTTTTTGCCGTTGAACTCCTGTATGAGCTCATTTCTACATTTTCTCCATTTAGATCTTTGGTTTTATTTACTTTCTGTTGTAAATTTTATTTATATTATTTGAGCAACGAGTTTTTCTTTTTCACTCCCATCAAGGTCCTTCACAGATCAGCTCGCTGTAATTATTTACTAACCAGTTACTCTATCAGGTTAAGTCTGTTATTATCAGTTGACTGTCAGGATCCAGTTTATGCTGCAGTTTTTATTACCATAATTTCTGTCCAGCTTTGCAAAAATCATCTAGAAATAAGAAGAACATTTCTTAAATTGGTGTATTTACCCTTTATTTAAGTAGGTAGATAATATGATTTGCCAAAGTTTCTTTTTTCTGAAAATAAGATATTTGGATAATAAGCATTTGACAATTCAACATTTTTTTCTTATTTTAAATATAAACTGTATTCTTCCAATGGCAAAGTGTGTCACTTGCTTCCTCTATTGAAGAAGAAATGCAATTATAAGAAAAAAATACTTACTTAGATTTTAATTGTTTGCAGTGAAGCTTAAACATTTCCTCCCTTCCTGCTTCCATGTGTGACCGGTTTAAAGCCATTTACTTTCAATGTAGTTACAGAAGTAGTAATGAAATTATACAGATAAAGTGTTAAATCCCTGTTTTCATTTATATGATCTGTCCTCACCCCCACCATGGACTGTTCTCCCTGCTGCCCTCTGGGAAGAGGCTTCACAGCATTCAATGCAGATCCAGCTGGTTCTGCAGCAGCTTCTTCCCCACTAACATCACACTGATGACAAAACTCTAATGCTGTTTCTCAATCCACAATAATGAGGACGGACTCGTGTCCTCACCAAGTCTGTTCTTGACCAGAACACAGGAAAGTCTGGATTTGGGGAGAACGGGAGCACGCAGAATAAATCTGGGTCAATTGGAGCAGAAACGTACTGATGACATCATCACATTCAAAGCTAGTCTGACTTTAAATATCGCCATTAGAGCCAGTGGTCCTTCACACACGGCTATGCAGACGGTCTAACATTAGCCCTGGCTGCTGCAGACGGGCTAACATTAGCCCTGGCTGCTGCAGACGGGCTAACGTTAGCCCTGGCTGCTGCAGACGGGCTAACGTTAGCCCTGGCTGCTGCATACGGGCTAAAGTTAGCCCTGGCTGCTGCATACGGGCTAATGTTAGCCCTGGCTGCTGCAGACGGGCTAACGTTAGCCCTGGCTGCTGCATACGGGCTAACGTTAGCCCTGGCTGCTGCAGACGGTCTAACGTTAGCCCTGGCTGCTGCAGACAGTCTAACGTTAGCCCTGGCTGCTGCAGATGGGCTAATGTTAGCCCTGGCTGCAGACAGTCTAACGTTAGCCTTGGCTGCTGCATACGGGCTAACGTTGGCCCTGGCTGCTGCAGACAGTCTAACGTTAGCCCTGGCTGCTGCAGACGGGCTAACGTTAGCCCTGGCTGCTGCAGACGGGCTAAAGTTAGCCCTGGCTGCTGCAGACGGGCTAACGTTAGCCCTGGCTGCTGCAGAGGGTCTAACGTTAGCCCTGGCTGCTGCAGACGGGCTAACGTTAGCCCTGGCTGCAGCAGACGGGCTAACGTTAGCCCTGGCTGCTGTAGAGGGTCTAACGTTAGCCCTGGCTGCTGTAGAGGGTCTAACGTTAGCCCTGGCTGCTGCAGACGGGCTAACGTTAGCCCTGGCTGCAGCAGACGGGCTAAAGTTAGCCCTGGCTGCTGCAGACGGGCTAACGTTAGCCCTGGCTGCTGTAGAGGGTCTAACGTTAGCCCTGGCTGCTGTAGACGGTCTAACGTTAGCCCTGGCTGCTGTAGACGGTCTAATGTTAGCCCTGCCTGCTGCAGACGGTCTAACGTTAGCCCTGGCTGCTGCAGACGGTCTAACGTTAGCCCTGCCTGCTGCAGACGGTCTAACGTTAGCCCTGGCTGCTGCAGACGGTCTAACGTTAGCCCTGGCTGCTGCAGACGGTCTAACGTTAGCCCTGGCTGCTGCAGACGGTCTAACGTTAGCCCTGGCTGCTGCAGACGGTCTAACGTTAGCCCTGGCTGCTGCAGACGGTCTAACGTTAGCCCTGCCTGCTGCAGACGGTCTAACGTTAGCCCTGGCTGCTGCAGACGGTCTAACGTTAGCCCTGGCTGCTGCAGACGGTCTAACGTTAGCCCTGGCTGCTGCAGACGGAGTAACGTTACTCCGTCTGCAATCCATTTGAAAACAAACCATGCAAAGAGCAGTGTTGCCAACTTAGTGCTTTAGTCGCTATATTTAGCCACTTTTCAGACCCCTCTAGCACTTTGATTTCTAAAAAGCTCCTAGCGCCAAATCTAGAGACTTTTTTCTGCTACTGGAGACTTTGGAGACAACATCTAAAAGCAGCAAACTCTGCTCTCCAGAGCGAGTAGATTGGTAACCCCGCCTCCTGCTCTCCTCTATCTTCAATTCAATTCAGTTTATTTATATAGCGCCAAATTCACAACACATGTCATCTCAAGGCACTTTACAGTTCAACCAGATCATACAGTCAAATTGATACAAAGTTTTCTATCTAAGGAAAACCAGCTGATTGCATTGACTCATTGACTCTTCAGCAATCCCCCACACTAAGCATGCTTGTAGCGACAGTGGAGAGGAAAAACTCCCTTTTAACAGGAAGAAACCTCCAGCAGAACCAGGCTCAGTGTGAGCGGCCATCTGCCGAGGCCGACTGGGGTTCAAGGAGACAGAAGCAGAGATACAAAAAGCAGCTGTAAAAGGCGGCCCCGTCCAGGAAACACAGCCAGGCAGACGAGCTCCAAGGCAGCTCCCATGCCAGAGGACGAAGAGAGCACATCCACTCAGTCACGGTCAGAGAAACAGGACCACACTGGAAAACAGGCCGATCTCCAACATCTATAAACAAGGGTGTTGATAGAAGCAGCACAGCTGATGTTTTTTTCCAGGATGACGTCACAGCCAAACAGGAACAGACGAGGCAAAGCTACTCTGAGGAAAAGCAGAGAGAGCAGAAGGTTAGAGATTGAACTAACAGATTCTGCAGAATAGGAGAACAGAGAGAGAATGAAGCAGAATGATGAAATGGGGGTCCCTATGTCCTCCAAAAGTCTAAGCCTATAGCAGCATAACTATAGAGATAGCTCAGGATAACCTGAGCCACCCTAACTATAAGCTTTATCAAAAATGAAAGTTTTAAGCCTAGCCTTAAAAGTAGACAGGGTGTCTGCCTCACGGACTAAAACTGGTAGTTGGTTCCACAGGAGAGGAGCCTGAGAACTAAAAGATCTGCCTCCCATTCTACTTTTAGAAATTCTAGGAACCACTAGTAAACCTGCAGATTGAGAGCGAAGTGCTCTGTTAGGAACATAAGGAACAATCAGATCTCTGATATCAGATGGAGCTTGGCCATTTAAGGCTTTATATGTGAGAAGGAGGATTTTAAATTCTATTCTTGATTTAACAGGAAGCCAATGAAGAGAAGCCAGGATAGGAGAGATATGATCTCTCTTTTTTATTTTCATTAGAACTCTGGCTGCAGCATTTTGGATCAGCTGAAGGCTTTTAACTACAGTTTGTGGACTTCCTGATAGTAAAGAATTACAATAGTCCAGCCTTGAAGTAACAAATGCATGGACTAGTTTCTCAGCATCACCCCTGGACAGGATATTTCTAATTTTTGCAATGTTCCTCAGATGAAAGAAGGAAATTCTAGAAACCTCTTTGATATGGGATTTAAATGACAGGTCCTGATCAAAAATAACACCAAGATTTTTTACTTTATTATCTGAAATCAGTTTAATCCCATCCAAATGAAGTGACTGGCTAATCAGCTTCTTTTTCAGAGACTCTGGTCCAAAGACTATAACTTCTGTTTTGTCTGCATTCAGAAGCAGAAAGTTAAGAGTCATCCAGGTTTTTATGTCTTCAAGACATGCCTGTAATCTATGTAATGGGTTAGCTTCATCTGGATTTATAGACAGATATAGCTGGGTATCATCAGCATAACAGTGGAAATTAATCCCATGCTGTCTAATAACTCTACCAATTGGGAGCATGTATAAAGTAAAGAGAATTGGTCCTAGCACTGATCCCTGTGGTACTCCACAGGTAACCTTTGAGCGTGTTGAAGATCTGTCATTAACATGAACAAACTGAAATCGATCAGATAGATAAGATTTAAACCAGTCTAGTGCTGTTCCTTTAATTCCAACAAAATATTCAAGTCTTTCTAAAAGAATATTATGGTCAACTGTATCAAATGCAGCACTAAGATCCAACAGGAGGAGCACAGATACAAGTCCATTATCTGAGGCCATGAGAATATCATTAGTGACTTTCACCAGAGCTGTTTCAGTGCTATGATGAGCTCTAAAGCCAGACTGAAACTCTTCAAAAAGTTCATTATGGTGGAAGTGATCGCAAACTTGTTTGGCAACTACTTTCTCAAGAATTTTGGATAAGAAAGGAAGATTGGATATAGGTCTATAATTGACCAAGTCATCTGGGTCAAGAGACGGTTTCTTAAGCAGAGGTTTAATTACAGCAACCTTAAAAGCTTTAGGTACATATCCCTGTAACAGAGATAGATTAATCACATCTAAAATGGAGGAGGAGATCAAAGGGAATACCTCCTTAAATAACCTGGTTGGAACTGGATCTAACATACAAGTTGAAGGCTTAGATGAAGACAATAATTTTGCTAATTCAGAGAGTTCAACTGGATCAAAGCAGTCTAAACCCGGTTCAGATTCCATGACTACCTCAGGTACAATCGCGGATAGAGGAGTGCTTATGATCTTATTTTTAATAAGATCAATCTTATTTATAAAGAATCCCATAAAATCATTGCTGCTAAGAGCAGGTGGAATGGACGGTTCAACAGAGCTATGGCTCTGGGTGAGTTTGGCAACTGTATTAAAAAGAAATCTAGGATTATTCTTATTCTCCTCTATTAATGAGGAGAAGTATGCTGCTCTTGCTTTACAAAGGGTCCTCTTATACAGCAGTAAACCATTTTTCCAGACTAGGAAGGACTCTCGCAGGCCTGTGGAGCGATATTTTCTCTCCAGTTTCCTAGCATTTTGCTTCAAAGTACGCAGCTCTGCATTAAACCAAGGAGCAAGCTTTCTATTTTTAACGGTTTTCATTTTCAAAGGAGCTGCGTTGTCTAAGGCAATAAGCAGAGAACTAGCAACCCCATCAACAAAATCATCAACCTGTGAAGGGGAATAAGCTAAGCTTTTGCACTCTGCAGCACTGCTCAGTGACACAGAGCAGAGAGAAAGTGAAGCAGATTCTTTAAAATTTATAACTGCACTATCTGATAAAGATCTACTAAAATTGAACCTTCTTTTGGGGGAGGAGAACTCTGTTAAAGTAATCCTGAAGGTTATTAGAAAGTGGTCAGAGAGGACAGGGTTGTGAGGAAATACTGTTATTTCTTCACATTCTATGCCGTATGTCAGCACAAGATCCAAAGTATGAAGATGAGAATATCTTGTCTGCTGTCATGATTCATGCAGCTATTATTTCATCCAAATGAAAAATGGAGAACAGATAAGCAGATCATGGCTTGTCTACAGTGAAAAGAAGGACTGGGTTATTTACTTTGGCCTTTTTGGAAACACAGGAAGGAGCAATCAGCTAAGTGAGCTTAGTGCTTGGAAAAAATCTTTCATTCCTTTAGAGACAGCATGAAAAGTCAGCTGAGTACAAAACATAGAGAGGAAAACAAGAAGAAAAGGGACAAGAAGAGAGGGACACAACCTAGAACAGATAATGGATGTCTATTCTATTAACATTTCTATATCTGGAGAATGGGGCTGTTCTATGTCTTCTCTATTTATGGGCCCCCCTGCCTGTCTTTGCCTAGGGCCCCACATTTCCTAAATCCGTCCCTGAATAGTACATGTATTCCAGAGTTTTCATCCAGGCCTATATGTGTTCCTTTTCTCCTGAAGTGTTGTCTGTGTTCCAGCCTGTGCTGCAGAGCCGTCCTGCCACCATGTGGTTCTGTTCGACAGCCAGAGGCAGTGTGAGCTGTACAGCACACACACAATGAACACCGTCTGCAATGCCTCCCGGCAGGTACGCTCACACTCACAGCTCTCTGGTGTTTCTGCTGACACCTTTAGTCCTTCTCTCCCTGATGGGAACGTGGTGTCTCTCTGTCTATGCAGGGCAGCGGGTTTCTGGGTAACCCTGAAGCAGAGCGGTTCCATCAGCTGAGTTGTTCTCTGAAAGTGAGGGGCGGAGCTTCAGGACGGCTCGTCCTCAGGAAAGACGGTAAAGTTCTGCTTAAGCATCACACCAATGAGAGAAGCTGATCTGGGAGCTGGCAGGGAGTCAGACGCAGCACTGCTGATGCAGAGCGCTATGATCACTCCTCTGAAACAGTTTATTAACGCCTAAATTAACTTCAAATGGAGAAACCTGCCGGCAGAATATGTTGGCTTTTATTATCCTGCTGCCTGCAGTTTGTAGCACAGACCTTCCTGCTGAAGAGTAAAGACAAAAACAAGATTAGACTCAGAGAAACAAAGCTTCAGTTAGACTCAGCCTGGATAGAGCAGGCATCCCGAACCTCGGTCCTCGAGGTTTTAGAGGTTTCCCTGCTTTAGCGCAGCTGATTCTGATGATTGCAGTAGACCACAAGCCTGTTAATCAGCTTTCTATTAAAATCAGCTGCTGGAGCAGAGAAACCTCTAAACCCTGCAGGATGGCGGCCCTCCAGGACCCACTTTGGGGATGCCTGCTCCAGAGAATCCAATAAACTTCTCCTGAATACTGTCTTACATTTTTAGACACCTAGGGTTTTTTCTCCATTTTAAATTAATCATTTATTACCTTTTTATTTGGCTATTTTTTTTTAAAAAGTTAGTAAGTAGCTTAAGGATGTACTGGAACCATATTTACGTAATAAAACAGCTTTCTGATTGGTGTAAAAGGAGACATTTTTTGTGCTGCAGCTTTGACCTTGTTACCATGGTAACCCGATGCTGACAGATGTGGTCCAGAGCTCCAGTGTCAGGATCAGATTTAGCGTACCTGTTTGTGATCCTGTGGGCGTGCCTTCTTATGCAGGGGCGGGGCTTCCCTTGATGAAGACGAGGATGAGGAAGGTGGTCTCAGGTGTATTCAGGACTCAGGTGTTCTCCTCCAGAACCACGTCTCTGTCCGACGCTCATCGCTTCTGTCAGGACGGCTGCAGCCGGGACGCCTGCTGCGACGGATTCATCCTGAACCAGAACGTCCTGGATGGAGGTGTGTTACCATGGAGACGGGCTGCGGGGAGGAGTTGACCCTGATCCTCACTGCTCATTTCATCCCATTAAGGTTCCCTCCTCTGTGGTTGGCTGAGAGCTCCGTCGGTTCTGATGTGTGAGGATCAGGACTGGGACGTGATTGGACAGGGACCAGCCAATAGAACCTGTGGGGCGGGGCTTACCTACAACGAACTGCAGCGAAGCTTCTTGTTCGACTTCGGAGGAGAAAAGTTCACTATCAGTAAGAAAAAGGTCCAGTTCATTTCTGAGCAGCTTGTTTCAAACAGAACCCAAACATTCTGGTGCCTTTCAGCTGATGACGCTCTGCCCGCCGACAGCAAGAATAAAAAGGACTATCAGGCCTCCATCATCAGCTTCCAGGCCATCTACCTGCACACAGGTACGCTTCTGTCCTGAAGCAGCAGGTAAGACCCACTCGGGTCAAGGTTCAGCTCGGCTCACAGTTTTTTGTTGTCATTTGCAGAGTCAGAGGCCGCTGGTTCCGGATCTACTTCCTGCCCTGCAGCAGAGCTTCCTGCTCCTCTGAATGGTTTGGATCTTCTCCGATCAGGTGACTTGCCGTCCATCGCTTCACATCTATAGGTGATCTTCTTTGTGTTTCCAGCGTCCGTGCTGCTGAGGTTCCAGCCGCTGTCCAATGATGACATCATCGTGGATCCTCAGAGGAAACTCCCCGTTCTCTCCTTCTGGCTCAGTAAAAACCACTACAGTTCCCAGCAGGCGCAGCTCTGGTGTCTCACACGTACGTAGCTGCAGATTTCTGCCTTTGACAGACAGAGAAGGAGAAGATTTCATTTATGACCCTTTAGAAAGCAGTGCCCCCCCCCCCACCTGTAGGTGTCAGCACTCTGTAGTTTGACGGCTGTGTGTTTCAGGTTGTGATGAAGAGCAGCAGTGCGCTGTCGCCGACCTCAGAGATGCAGAATCAGATGTTTTCTTCCGCTGCTCTTTGCACCCTGACACCAGAGTCTGTGGAGCCTACGACCAGCCAAGAAAACAATCCTGCCGCCCCCTGCTGGCCGTGTTACCAAACAACACCTACAGCAAGCTGGGTGAGGATGAGACCCTAAGATCAGATTCTGCAGAGTTCAGCTCTGGTTCTGTTAGAAATGTTCTTCTGTTATCTATTTTTCTTCTCTTTAGTGGATCTGAGCGGTCCAGTTCAGAGTTTCTATGAACGGGTTCCCTTCCAGAAGATGGTCTCCTACTCTGTGAGGAACCGGGTCACCCTGAGAGACACCCGGCAACTGTCAGAGAGGTAACTTCAGCAACAGCCGGTCCTAACATCAGAACCTCTGATCTGAGAGGGCTTCAGGAAACAATGTGATGAACCTGGGACACTAAGGGACACAAAGCGACACTAAGGGACACAAAGTGACACTAAGGGACACAATTAGGCACTACAGTAAGGAACACAATGAGGCACAGTAATACAATAAGGGGCACAAAGCGAAACAATAAGACACCAGGAGATACTTGGGGACATTATTAGACACTAAGGGACACAATAAGACACTATGGGACACAATAAGACACTATGAGACACAATAAGACACTATGGGACACAATTAGGCACTAAGGAACACAATGAGGCACAGTTATACAATAAGGGGCACAAAGTGAAACAATAAGACACCAGGAGACACTTGGGGACATTATTACACACTAAGGGACACAATAAGACACCATGGGATACAATAAGACACTATGAGACACAATAAGACACTATGGGACACAATTAGGCACTAAGGAACACAATGAGGCACAGCTATACAATAAGGGACACAAAGCGAAACAATAAGACACTAAGAGACACTTGGGGACATAATTAGACACTAAGGGACACAAAGCGACACTAAGGGACACAATAAGACACTATGGGACACAATTAGGCACTAAGGAACACAATGAGGCACAGCCATACAATAACGGACACAAAGCGAAACAATAAGACACCAAAAGACACTTGGGGACATAATTAGACAGTAAGGGACAAAATGGGACACAATTAGACACAAAGAGACACAGTGGGACACAAGTCACTAAGGGAGACCATTTGACACAAAGACACAACCTGAGAGACAAAAAGACACAATAAGACCTTGAAAGGTGCACTGAGCTAAGGAGACAGAATGTCAAGATAAATGCCATTATAGATCAAATAGATATTTTTCCTCAGAGTTTCAGCTTCTATTTATCTCCAAATTTCACTCTGAGTCCATCGGTTCAGTGATGGAGCGCTCTGTGTCTCCAGGTTCATGGACTGTGAGCGCCGCTGTGACCAGGACCCCTGCTGCCGTGGTTTTGGGTTCGTCCGTGAAACCCAATCAGGAGGTAAATCCCTTTCACTGCAGAACCAGAACCAAACCTTTCCACCCTGTTTGGTTCAGGTAACCTGGGTTTGTAGGAGACATGATGGGATTATAAGATTAAACACTTCAGATATTTCTGTAAAAAACTGCTATGTGCCATAAGGACGTCATCATCAGCAGGACATGAACAAGTCAGATGTAGAGCTGACCTGTCGATGTCAGACTCGGCTGGGCTCAGACATTTTAGCTTGTTGCTGCAGAGGCTAATCTGCCTGTTTAAGCTAAATAGCAAGCTAAGCTATAAGAGGAAGCTAGACTTAGCTTGACTGGAGTCCAACACGTTCAAATAGAGGCCCAGAATTTGGTCTAAACTTGGTCTAAATTTATGGTCTAAACATTGATAATGACATAAAAGGGAAGTTATATTTGTTCACTATCACCACTGGGTGGCGCTCAGGAGGAGGAGCTAAGGGAATGCGAGGGACTTCATTCCTTCTTTCCTTTGATAGAAAAAGTTTTACCGAACTGCTGGGGGTGCTTTGGTAGCGCAGTGCTTAGCACGCAAGACCGTACAGATGCTGTAGTGCTCAACATGGCCGACACGAGTTAGTATCCGGCCTGTGGTCCTTTCCCTACGATGGCCCTGAAGTGCAAAACTGCAACTACAAATCTAAAAGCACAACTACATTAAGAAAAACAAAACTACATAAAGTAAAGCGCAACTACATTAAGGAAAACACAATTACATTAACCTACCGGAAAAGGTAGGTACCAGTGGGAAACATGAGACATCGCTGATTGGACGACGGCGCCGTTTGACCCTTGAACCGGAAGTCCTTCTGCCTGCTGCGGCTTTTGAAAACATGGATATTGTCGGCGCCCCAAACATAGCTGCCGTTATCCAGGAATATTTTGAATCAGGACATACGTACGAGGTGATACTGGATATGCTCAAGACTAATCACCAAATTTCAGTTAGTTTGCGTACACTGAAGACACACTTAAAAGAAGCTGGACTGTTCAGACGACGCAACTTCCGGTTCAAGGGTCAAACGGCGCCGTCGTCCAATCAGCGATGTCTCATGTTTCCCACTGTTACCTACCTTTTCCGGTAGATTAATGTAATCGTGTTTTTCTTAATGTAGTTGCACTTTTAGATTTGTAGTTGCAGTTTGCACTTCAGGGCCACTATATTTGCCGTATGTCTAGTGCCGTAAAAACCTAAAAAAATACACACAAAAAAACCACCTCCTGCAGAGTCTGAAACTTATGATGGAGTATTAGATCCACGCTAGAGATTGTTTACATTTTTTTATTTTTAGAATAAAGTTTTAATATAACAAGAATAAAGTCATCATACCACAACCTGTTTCAGAAAGAAAGCTTGGAGCTCCGCCCAGCAGATGACGGCCGACCAGCTCCACCAATCAGCAGCCAGAGTCCACTTTGACATCCTGCCCAGTTTGATGCTGCTGCTAAAAGATTTCCTGATTTGTCAAACCGATGCTAAAGTATAACTTCACATGATGCTCCACATTCCTCATTTTAGGGAAGAAAGGGCTTCTTGGAAGAGTTGTCATAAAATAAAACTTTATTCTCGTAATTTAGTTACTTTATTCTTGTAATTCTATGACTTTATTCTCAAAATAGAAAAAAGACCCACTAACCTGGTCCTAATACTCAGTTGTAGAAATAAGGATTGATTAAAAGTAAGCAACTTTAAATCTGTTAGTGTGATGAAACCAGCCAGAAAGGATATTTCTGAATGTGAAAAGTGTTTCTTGTAAAGATCCTCAAATCTCCTGCCATCTAGTGGTGAGCTAAGTGAATTACAAAGGACATAGGAGCCTTTTAGAGATTAATGATTTCAGCGGGAGCCACGAAGTGTCATAAATGTGTTAATGTCACCGTCCTGCATGATTTAAACTTTATTCATCAGGGGATGGGAACATTATAGGACTTTTTGTTTATTATAAAAAACTTATGACCCTAGTTATTAGTTATTATCCGGGGTCGAGTCGCGGGGGCAATGTCCGAAGGCGGAACCAGTGTTGCTTCGCAGCGATTCGTCACTGTGATGCTTTTCATGAAGCCAAAACAGTAAAACTGTTGAGAAGGAGAGAGAATCATTCAGAATTAGATTAAAAGAGACGCTAAACGGAATCAATTTACCCCAAACCATGAACTCTATAAAACCCAAAGTGAGCAGAACCTCTTGAAAAGTCCAAATTGAACTGTAGGTGTAGCAGAATAAAGCTCCTGGTTTCAGAGGAAGTCTGATGGATCCAGATTATCGTCACTGCCATGATGATGATGATGATGATGATGTGTGTGTTTCAGATCTGGTGTGTCTACCTCTGATCAGTCTGGGAGTTCAAACTTGCAGCGAAAACGACGCCACGACCTGGAGGATACAGGACTGCACACAGTCCGATGCAGAGACCACGCCGGAACCGTTCGGCTGGTACCAGAAACCAGGTACCCATTCCTCACATAAAAACATGTTCTTACAGGACCAGCGGGAACAACACAGCCATGATGTGACGTTTGTTTTTTCAGTCAATCAGTGGACGTCTTCTCCAGCTCTGTGTCCCACGTTCAGCCTCAGGAACCCCAGGAACAACGGTGAGACCCAAAGTCTGTTCTGGTTCTGCAGTAACATTCACAGAAGTTTCCTAACGTTTCCATCCAGCCCTCTTCTCTCCAGTATTGATGCCAGAGAACCACATCGCCCCCTGGTGGAGGTTCTTTAGATAAAAGCGGTGAAAGTAAAGATCTTCAAAAATCCCTAAGAACATTTTAAAATTTGACCAGAACATCAGAACCACAGGAGGGAAAATGGAGGGAATGGAGGGTTGGATCAGGGCCGGCGTGGAGGAAAGTTCTCCATCATTGCTGGGTTCTGTTGGACCCAGGAAGTAGTAACACCTGAACTTTCTGTTTTAGTCTCGATGGATGATTGGCGGCTCCTCTCCGACTCTTCGCTTCTGGTTGATTCGTCTCTCTCTACCTATAACGTCATCCACGTGAGCCGTGACATTGCCACCGACCAGGAAAAGACCAGAAACTGGTGTCTCCATGGTAACCACAGACAACATCAGTAATTAAGGTGCTGAGGTCATAGTTGAGTTTAAAGAACCTTGTTGCTGCTTCCTGTCAGCCTGCCAGGAGGCGGAGTCTTGTGTCACCGTGTCAATCAGCGACGCCGAGTCCGCTGTACGCTGCATCCTGTACCCCGATACCACAACCTGCGGATTAGGCTCCGCCCCTGGCTCCTCTGGCTCAGCCGCCTCATGCAGATTAGTGATCAGAGAGCCCGCCCCTCAGGTCTACCTGATGACAGGTGAGCTCATCAGTCAGTCACAGTGGAGAACAGGGTGTGGCAGCTTTCTCACTGACCCCAGTGTTTCCTCAGAGCGATCAGCACAGGCTACATCCATCTTTGTTCCCGGTCATGGGATGCTGCAGGGCGTCACCATGGAAACAACAGTTGGTTCAGACATGAGGAAAGTGATTCAGTTCCTAGGAGTCCCATATGCCCGGCCACCAATAGGACCACTTCGCTTTGAGGCGGCGCAACCAGCTGATTGGACAGGAACATGGGACGCCACCAAACCCAGGTAGCTGCCCATCACGATCTGTTCTAAGGAGACTCGTTGCAAAAACATGGATGGACCTGTTGTCCGCTTCCTCTTGCAGGGCCAGCTGCGTCCAGCCTGGCGATGAAGAGTCCAGAGCTTCCAGTGAGGATTGTCTCTACCTGAACATCTTCACACCTGCTGCTCTGGTGAGAAAGGAAGGTCCCTCTGGTCCGACTAAAATCTCTACAATCAGTTTTTATATTTGCAGCAACAATAAAGAAACATGCAGAAAGCTTAGGTTTTGATGACTTAAAAGCCTAAATATTTAGATCCTGACAGGAGTAGAGAAACTTGAGGTTCTGGAGTCTCATGTTGGACCCATTCAATTCTATTCAGTTTATTTCTATAGCGCCATTTCACATCATGTCATCTCAGGTCACTTTCCAGTTCACCAGATCATCCAGTCAGATTGATTCAAAGTTTTCCATCTAAGGAAAACCAGCTGATTGCATCGACTCATTGACTCTTCAGCAATCCCTCACCCTAAGCATGCTTGTAGCGACAGTGGAGAGGAAAAACTCCCTTTGAACAGGAAGAAACCTCCAGCAGAACCAGGCTCAGTGTGAGCGGCCATCTGCTGAGGCCGACTGGGGTTCAAGGAGACAGAAGCAGACATAGAAAAAGAAGCATAGATACAAAAGGCGACTGTCAACCAGCTCCACAGGCGGCCCCGTCCAGGAAACACACAGCCAGGCAGACGAGCTCCGAGCCAGCTCCCATGTCAGAGGATGAAGAGAGCACATCCAGTTAGTCACAGTCAGAGAAACAGGACTACACTGGAAAACAGGCCAAGCTCCAACATCTAGAAACAAAGGTGTTGATGGCAGCAGCACAGCTGATATTTCTCTCCAGGATGGAGTCACAGCCAAACAGGAACAGACCAGATGAAGCTACTATGAGAAAAAGCAGAGAGAGCAGAACGTTAGAGATTGAACTAACAGATTCTGCAGAGTGGGAGAATAGAGATAGAATGAAGCAGAATGATGAAAAAGGGGTCCCTATGTCCTCCAGCAGTCTAAGCCTATAGCAGCAGAACTATAGAGATAGCTCAGGATAACCTGAGCCACTCTAACTAGAAGCTTTATCAAAAAGGAAAGTTTTAAGCCTAGCCTTAAAAGTAGACAGGGTGTCTGCCTCACGGACTAAAACTGGTAGTTGGTTCCAGAGGACCACGGCCCGTCCGACTCATTTATTAACAGAGCTGAATCCTTCAGGAAGACTTGATTTAGTTCTGGGAATTTTCTATCTGCTTGTCCTTTAGAGGGGACGTGTCCCGGTTCTTGTTTACTTCTTCAACCCTCCAAGCAACCAGAACCTGCTGGATGGCTCCGCCCTCGCCGCTCTGGGTAACATCGTCGTGGTTACAGCCAGCTATCGGACCGCAGCGCTGGGTTTCCTGACTGCAGGTTAGTACGACTCATATCGAATCAGATCAACGGCATGAAACACGCTTGATCTCATCGTCTCTGTCATGCAGGTGATCTCCATGGTAACTACGGCCTGTCGGACCAGCAGGCGGCACTTCGTTGGGTCAATGCCCACATTTCCCTGGTTGGCGGAGACAACAGGAGTGTGACAGTGGGGGCAGAGCGTTGCGGTGCTGACATCAGCAGCCTTCATCTTCTTTCCTCTGCTCCTTTGTTCCAGCGAATGATCCTGATGGTTAGATGATCAAACTTTCCCCTCATCTTCAGGAGTTCCGCTTCCTCCATTATCATCCAGGATGATAATATGCTTACTGAGAAGAAGCTGGAAGCAGCAGGATGTGTTTTAATGATGATTGATAATCATCAGCTCTTTAGCTTCAAATGATAATATTGTTCTATCTCTTTTCTCACAGGGAGGTTCTGTTTTCTCTCCATCTTTGGTCCAAACTCCTGCCGCCTCCAGAAGGCAGGCGATCGAATTGGCTCGAGAACTGGGTTGTGTGAACTCTGACCTCATTGACGAAGGTCTAATGGTCGCCTGCCTCAGATCGACTCCTGTCCACAAACTAAACGCCGCTCAGACCAAAGTCTGTGTCCAGAACTCTGTACTTCTGCAGCTCAGTTTCTACATATCTGACCCGTATGTGTTGTGTTGTAGCTGTTGGCGGTGAGCGGTCCGTTCCAGTCCTGGTCTCCAGTCCAGGGTTCTGTCTCCGAGTCCACCTCCTTCCACAGAGTTGATTTGTTGCTGGGAACATCGGAGCATGATGGTCTGATCAGCAGGGCTCGAAGGATAAAGGTCAGAGGTCACATCCCATTTATGTACAAGGTCAAATGACTGAGCAATGATCACATGACTCAACCATAAGTCACATGACTGTCTGTAGGACTTCGAGGCTCTGCAGGGTCGAGCTGATGGGAAGACGGCGTTCTACGAGGCTCTGAGTCGGTCCCTGGGTGGAACATCAGGAAATGAGCTGTTGAAGGAGGCGGCAACCTGGTTCTACTCTCTGGATCACAACCCGTCAGCCGCTGGTTACAACCTGTTCTCCAGAGCACTCAACAATGCCACCAGGTGACAATGCTGCCAACCCAAAGTTTTAAGACTTAGAATTAGCCTTAAAACTCTATAGTTCTGCTGCTATAGGCTTAACCTGCTGGAGGACATAGGGACCCCTTTTTTCACCATTTTGCTTCATTCTATCTCCATTTTTTTGTTCTGCAGAATTTATCAGTTTAATCTTCAACTTTATGCTCTCTCTACTTTATCCTCATCATAATAGCTTCATATTTTCCCTTATTTTATTCTGATATCTTATTTGTACTTTATTACATACTTATTGTTCTCTCTTCTCTAAACAGTTGCACTGCAAGAAAAAAACATCCTGCAAGGCATTAATAAAGTGATAGTTCAGTAGTTCTGATTCTGATGGACTTTTCCTTTCTGGCTTTGACTCCATGATGGAGAGAAATATCAGCAGTGCTGCTGATATTGGATCGGCTGGTGTTGCCACTGGATATGCTGGTTTTAGCTTTGGATAGGCTGGCGTTATGTTTAGATAGGCTGGCGTTATGTTTACATAGGCTGGCGTTATGTTTAGATAGGCTGGCGTTATGTTTACATAGGCTGGCGTTATGTTTAGATAGGCTGGCGTTAGCTTTGGATAGGCTGGCGTTATGTTTAGATAGGCTGGCGTTATGTTTAGATAGGCTGGCGTTAGCTTTGGATAGGCTGGCGTTATGTTTAGATAGGCTGGCGTTATGTTTAGATAGGCTGGTGTTAGCTTTGGATAGGCTGGCGTTATGTTTAGATGGGCTGGCGTTATGTTTAGATAGGCTGGTGTTAGCTTTGGATAGGCTGGCGTTATGTTTAGATGGGCTGGCGTTATGTTTAGATAGGCTGGTGTTAGCTTTGGATAGGCTGGCGTTATGTTTAGATAGGCTGGCGTTATGTTTAGATAGGCTGGTGTTAGCTTTGGATAGGCTGGCGTTATGTTTAGATGGGCTGGCGTTATGTTTAGATAGGCTGGTGTTAGCTTTGGATAGGCTGGCGTTATGTTTAGATAGGCTGGCGTTATGTTTACATAGGCTGGCGTTATGTTTACATAGGCTGGCGTTATGTTTAGATAGGCTGGCGTTATGTTTAGATAGGCTGGTGTTAGCTTTGGATAGGCTGGCGTTATGTTTAGATGGGCTGGCGTTATGTTTAGATAGGCTGGCGTTAGCTTTGGATAGGCTGGCATTATGTTTAGATAGGCTGGCGTTATGTTTAGATAGGCTGGTGTTAGCTTTGGATATGCTGGCGTTATGTTTAGATGGGCTGGCGTTATGTTTAGATAGGCTGGCGTTATGTTTAGATAGGCTGGCGTTAGCTTTGGATAGGCTGGCGTTATGTTTAGATAGGCTGGCGTTATGTTTAGATGGGCTGGCGTTATGTTTAGATAGGCTGGCGTTATGTTTAGATAGGCTGGCGTTAGCTTTGGATAGGCTGGCGTTATGTTTAGATAGGCTGGCGTTATGTTTAGATGGGCTGGCGTTATGTTTAGATAGGCTGGTGTTAGCTTTGGATATGCTGGCGTTATGTTTAGATGGGCTGGCGTTATGTTTAGATAGGCTGGCGTTATGTTTAGATAGGCTGGCGTTAGCTTTGGATAGGCTGGCGTTATGTTTAGATAGGCTGGCGTTATGTTTAGATGGGCTGGCGTTATGTTTAGATAGGCTGGCGTTAGCTTTGGATAGGCTGGCGTTATGTTTAGATAGGCTGGCATTATGTTTAGATAGGCTGGTGTTAGCTTTGGATAGGCTGGCGTTATGTTTAGATGGGCTGGCGTTATGTTTAGATAGGCTGCCGTTAGCTTTGGATAGGCTGGCGTTATGTTTAGATAGGCTGGCGTTATGTTTAGATAGCCTGGCGTTATGTTTAGATAGGCTGGCGTTAGCTTTGGATAGGCTGGCGTTATGTTTAGATAGGCTGGCGTTAGCTTTGGATAGGCTGGCGTTAGCTTTGGATAGGCTGGCGTTATGTTTAGATAGGCTGGAGTTAGCTTTAGATAGGCTGAAGTTAGCTTTGGATAGGCTGGCGTTATGTTTAGATAGGCTGGCATTAGCTTTGGATAGGCTGGCGTTATGTTTAGATAGGCTGGCGTTAGCTTTGGATAGGCTGGCGTTATGTTTAGATAGGCTGGAGTTAGCTTTAGATAGGCTGAAGTTAGCTTTGGATAGGCTGGCTTTAGCTTTGGATAGGCTGGAGTTAGCTTTGGATAGGCTGGCGTTATGTTTAGATAGGCTGGAGTTAGCTTTAGATAGGCTGAAGTTAGCTTTGGATAGGCTGGCTTTAGCTTTGGATAGGCTGGAGTTAGCTTTGGATAGGCTGGCGTTATGTTTAGATAGGCTGGCGTTAGCTTTGGATAGGCTGGCGTTATGTTAAGATAGGCTGGAGTTAGCTTTAGATAGGCTGAAGTTAGCTTTGGATAGGCTGGCGTTAGCTTTGGATAGGCTGGCGTTATGTTTAGATTGGCTAGCTTTAGCTTTGGATAGGCTGGCGTTATGTTTAGATTGGCTAGCTTTAGCTTTGGATAGGCTGGCGTTATGTTTAGATTGGCTAGCTTTAGCTTTGGATAGGCTGGCGTTATGTTTAGATTGGCTAGCTTTAACTTTGGATAGGCTGGCGTTATGTTTAGATTGGCTAGCTTTAGCTTTGGATAGGCTGGCGTTATGTTTAGATTGGCTAGCTTTAGCTTTGGATAGGCTGGCGTTAGCATTGGATAGGCACATCAATACTGCGCCATAAGTTCCTGTTTAAAGGGACTTTTTCTTCTCCACCATCGCTGCGTGATTGCTTGTTGAGATGGATTGCTACAGACTGAAAGACGCTGAGTCATTAAATGTCAAATATATTCAGATATTTAATACATTTAACAATGTTTTAAGTTCCATGTGACCAACACTAGAGGTCAAAGGTTAGAAATGGTTCTTTAAACCCTGTGAGCCAGCAGCCAGCTAAGCTAATGACCAACCCTCTGTGTTTGACTGCAGAGATCAGTTCATCATCTGTCCCTCAGTGCAGATGGCTCGCCACTGGGCCGCCAGTGGAGCCAACGTCTTCCTGTACCACCAACCCGCCTCCAGCGCTCAGGACAGGTATGGAGAACACACTGACCGAGGGAAGCAGTCCTTACTGTTCTTCTCTTCACACCAGCTGAACCTCACGGCAGCTAAGAGGGAAAATACCGAGACATGAGAACCGGATCGGATCAGAAGCCAGAATTTTGATCTGCTTGTTTTTTGCAGAGCCGATATCTCCGTTCCTTTGGACGTTCAGTTGATGTTTGGGGTTCCACTTCAGCCAATCAGCTCTCAGCGTTTTACCTCCTCAGACCGCCACCTTTCTTTGGCTGCCATGACCTACATCTCCAGCTTCACGCGGACCGGGTCAGGCCTCCAGACGGTACTTTAACAAGTCCAGCAGGACCACAGCTGAGCTGATCTGTCCTGGTTTTGTTTTAGGAACCCGAACCCATCCCGTGTGTGGATGGACTCAGTTCTGCCTCGCTGGCAGCCGGTCTCCACCTCTGATGCTCCACCCACCTACCTGGAATTAAGCCCCGCCCTCCGGCATCGACAGAGTCTGAGGCAGAACTCCTGTTCTTTCTGGAGCCAACTGGGAACCAGACTGACCAGTCAAACAGGTTACAGTGTGTAGCTGTCGTTGAGATTTGGCTTCGATCAAACAATAAATCAGTTTGCTTTTAATTTCACTCAATTTTCCTTTATCCTCAATCAAAACTGACCATCAGTCACCAAACGACATGTTCGCACTGCTTCAAATTATTTCTTCTTCTGCTGATTACCTGTTCCATTATCTGTCTGCAGGTGAGTCGGGGGCGGAGCCCGTCCAGACCGCGTTGACCCCTGAGCTCCCACTGGCTGCGCCCTCCAGCCAATCACTGACAAAGAAGGACGCCTACAACTGATGTCATCATCAGCAAAGAAGACAGAAAATCACTCTACATTTCCCATAATTCAGTTTGATTCACACGTTTCTGCGGCTCTTTTCTGTTCCCAATCATCAATAAACGCATCATAAAGAAAATGACGTGTGTTTTGTTGTTGGGAGGGATTTTAGGAGGGAGGGGTTTCCCCTCAGTCAGTCAGACACCGATTACAATTTCTGTAAGGTATAAATGTACTGAGGGCCATATCTCTCCATCTTAGGACGTTAAATTAATTTGAACCTTATTTCTTGCAAACTAAACTGCATCTTTACACATCCCTAATAAATAAAATCATTTTTTGTTTCAGTGACAGAAATCAGCAGAATCTACTCCTTTGTTCTCTGGAGTTTCAACAACACCATTTGAAAAAGGTCTAATTTCTGTAATTATTCCAGAGATTATCATTTTTCTGGTTGTAAATCCAAGAAGACAGACCCTGACTCAAACTGAAAGTGCAGGGGATTAGGCAACGCCCCCTCTGGGTAAAAAGCAGCAGCAGGTCAAACGACTGGAAGACGAACAGATATCGAATTTCTCCCTTTACTGACGCCAATCCTGATCCTTGGCAGTGTAGAATCCTTCTTGCTTCAAAGGAACCATTGAGCTCCAAGAGTGTTTCATTAATTTGTTTGTTTTTAAATGGAAATGAACATGACTAAATGAAAAATAATTAACCCTAAATTGGGGTGCATGCGTGGAGCCCAATAAAGCTAAAAACTGTATCGGTGCGCGTGTCGTTTAAGGAAAGTCATGTGACCGATCCAGGAGCTGTTTCTAACTGACCGACTCACTAAACTCTGTTTAAATTAAAATAATCAAGAATTTTGGAGCCTAAAAGGAATATGAACGTTGCGTTTGTCATTTAAATGATCTGAATTAAAGTTAATTTCAAATTGACTCTTAGTTTATTTACTGCTTTTACTGTACTTATTGTTTTAAAATTATGATTTAAAATCCTCGTCCAGCAACATTGTCATTCACATTTTGCCCTAAATTTTCACGTTATGATAAATGTTTACTTTATTGGCTGCATCTAGAAATATCAAATATATTTACAATCTAAATATAAATATGAAATAATAAAATATAACCTACAACAAATTAAATTATATCATTGTACTACGTAGGTAAATCACCTGAGGAAAGTTGGGCCTGTTTGTGCCGCTATCATTTTAAAGATATAAAGAAATATTTCTAGAAGTCATCAAAGGTCAACCAGCCCCCCCCCCCCCCCCCCCCCCTTCTTCAAATCAGACGAAATGGGTGTCAATTAACTCCATTTGTGCTGGTTCGTGCAGCAAAAATTGTCGTTTTTGCCGCTATCGTTTTAAAGATATAAAGAGATGTTTATAGAGGTCATCAAAGGTCAACCAGCCCCCCCACTTTCCTCAAATTAGACAAAATTAGTGTCAAATGTTTGTGTTAAAGTTGTGTTGGTTTGTGCAGCAAAAACAGATGTTAATAACTGACCTTTGATGACGTCTACAAAATATTATTAATTTCATTAAAATGATAGCAGTACAAATGAAAATTTTTGCCATACAAAAATATAAAATTTTTAAATTTATAAATTTATTTTAAATATTTAAAATAAAAATGTAAAATTTAAAATTCATATTTTATAATATATACATTTTTTGCTCTGCTATGATTTTAATGATATTAATAATTGTTTGTAGAAGCCATCAAAGGTCAGTGAACATTTGTTCATTATGAAACTCTGAATTTCATATAAATTATAAGTTGCTAACCAACTACAGAGAGGAGGTGGAGCAGCTGGTGGAGCAGAGATAACAGCCTGATCCTGAAGGTGGAGAAGATCAAGGAGATCATGGTGGACTTCAGGAAGAAGCGGCCTGACCACGCTCCACTGCTCATCAACAGCTCAGCTGTAGAGGTGGTCAGCAGCACCACATTCATCACAGACACCCTCACCTGGACTGGAAACACCACCTCACTGGTCCAAAGGGCCCAGAAGCGCTTGGACTTCCTGCGGAGGATGAGGAGAGCCCACCTGCCCCCCCCCCCCCCCCCCCCCCCATCACGTGACGTCACAGTGCTGCGTCACGAGCCCGCGAAACTCAGATGGAGGGCAGGAAGTGAAGTAGCTGAGGATCTGCCGTCTGAAACAATGCCTATGTTTTGTGTAGTTTACGGCTGCTCCAATCGTTCTAACCGAGAAAAGGAAAAGAGCTTTTACAGAGTACCAAAGATTGTCGTCCATAAAGGTGAAAATTGTTAAAAGCTCACAGAACAACGCCGAAAAAAATGGATTCTAAACCTACGTCTGCGATCTGAAGGAGCAGAGTCTGCCAATGTCCTTGTCTGCAGTGACCACTTCGTCGGAGGTAAGCTATAACGTTATGTTAGCTAGCTAACTTTTTTTTGTGGTTGTGTTTATATAGCATAAGGTTATCATAAGGTGCCCTACCATGTACTTAGTAATGGTTAATAAGTTACCGGTAGTCTAATATGGACTTCATTGTGACTGTTTATGCTGTCCTAGCGCTTTGGGTGACGTTGAATCGGTAGACTGGGCTCCGACGGTCAACCCCGGTTATCAAAAAACTAAGCCCAAATCAGAAGCATCTCTTCAACGAGAGAAACATAAACAACTGTGAGGCTAGCCGCTACTGCTAACGCTAGCATCTTTTAACACATAAAACAATATAAGAACAAACACTCACCCTGGCGAAGACTAGACAATAATCGTTGTGGAGACGTTTGGTGCCGAGGTTGTGGACCCACCCGTTGACAAAGAAGTTATATGCCTTCATACATTTATAGGCCTTCATTTGCTGTTTGGTGTAATACGACGTCTGAAGGACCAGATAGTTCGTTATGTCGACGGCCTCCACTGTCGGCAAATCTTTAAGGTCCACCGAAAACTCACTCATCTTCATGAGGTACGGTCACGTCCAACATATCTGTATATCAACTCCTTGTATCTGTGTCTTGAAACAGGCTCTAACTCCATACAATACGGCTCTTGGTAACGGTATCCTCCATGTTTCACTAACCATAGACTTCCTGCCCTCCATCTGAAATCGCCCCCCTGGGGCCCCGTCATAAAAGTCACGGACGAAACCCGGGTATGACCCCTCACCCCCCCACCATGGGGCTGTTTCTCCCCGCTGCC